AGCTTTGCTTGTCAAGCGAAATCTCAGGATCATTGACAAACTCCAGAAGATGTTCTATAAACTGAACAAATGCTGTATTAAAATTGGGTGGATACACGAAGAAATGGGACCAATCGTTGTTGGGGAAAAGTATTCGCAGAACAATACGGGAGAAAAATTCACTTTACGAAAACTTTTCTACTATGATGGTTGCTCACCTGGTGGAGTTTATTGCTATAGTCATCGGCAACGCTGCAGGAGCGTCCGCTTCTGCAATCCGTCAAAGTCTTTTCCACGTGAGAGTAAAAATCGTTACAACAAAGCCTGATCTGGTCAATAACGTCTTGAAATTTTGCCCGACTTGAATCTTGCTCACGCCATCGTCTTAACACGTCGAAAATATTTGTTTTTCCTGTCAGTATCTCCATGTTTGCATCCGTTGCGGATTGTTGCAAGAGTTCCATAAGTTCTTTTTCTAAGAACCGCATATGTCCATTGATCTCTTCCTCAATTTGACAACATTTTCCCCGTAGCTCTCCCTCGTGACGCTCCACTTCAATATGGGCAGCGTGTGCCATCATTTGAAACTTGGTTTCATTATCTTTCTGCTCCTGTCGCATCCGCATCATCACGATGTGCTGTTCATGACCTTGGTCATTGATGAGTTCATTCAAGCAAAAGTCGAGATCGTCGTCCATTTTGATGACTGTCCTGCTGAACGCACAAGTTTGGCGCTTGTCTTCTAACGATGTTGTACAAGAATAAATGAGACGCTGTGTGTTCGCACAAAGTGTTGGCACTGTTTAGCAACTGTTCTATAAATAGTCATAAAGTTTGCAAGGAGTGATATTGCAGAATTATTTGATTGACATATGTTGCGGGGTGTGGGTGTGTGTAACGATTTTAGATAGAAGAGAAGCCTGTGCTGATGGTATTACACTTTATTTCACTCTTCAAATTATAGAACCGCCTTGATTACATGTAAAGCACACGCTTAAATACTCAACCATTCGAGAGAACGAAGGAGAATGAGAGATAAAGACAAATATCAAGGACAGAAAGATAAAGGCAATATATGTGATGAGAAGAAATGGCACCATAAGGCCAAATACTATGCACAGATCACACTCGAACGGGAGTGTTACACTCCCACGTGGAATTTAGACACTCTCCGCATTTATCGTTACAGTGTGGACTTCACTGTATTGATCGGCACCCACACCCTTCTATTTACCGTCTTCTCAGGTAGAAAAGACAACAAATACATATAAATGACGTGCGTTGTTCGTAGTGTGAGTCCATGCAATAGTGAATGGTGTGTATGTTTCTTTCCAAATATGAAAATGAAACTAGACTGTGTTTCGTTCTTAATAGACACGACAAGTTTTAAAGCGTTTACGGTAATTATTCATTCTTTCATTTTACTTTTAGAGAGAAGTGAAGGAGTGAAAAAAAGTCACCTTTTATTGATGTCTACGATTCAGCACCTGTAGAATATAATAAAGTAAGAGTCAACTAATGAGAACATCATTTCAGCTCAGTTCAAAAGAACTGTCCGAACAGTTCATCGGTTCGTTTGAACCCGGTTCATGAGTTGGAACTGTCGTAGTCCTATACATACCTTGATATACGTCTTCGAATACTTTCAACGCTAATGGAGAAAATTCTTAAAACAGCTAGTTATATACTACTGTGCGCTTGCTAGGCAGTGAGTTTTTTCCCACAACATCTGCTGTGGTATTCTGTCTCTCAGCAACAAGTCGTTTCGTTCGGCCTATCAATAGCAGATGCATTTCTCACTATCGACATCTGTAGGTAAAAGTAGAGTATGGAAAAAATTAAAAGAATTCTAATTTATCCTAAAACATAGAAACTACTGTCAAAACGGATCCTTTTCGGCAACAGACAGCATCAATACATCTCGTTTTCGGTCCGTGTCGAACCGTAGTATCTCTCATGTAACTATTTTTTTGGTTCAGAACGCGACTCCGAGCGCTTTGAGGTGATGCTGCTGTATGCATCAGGATGCGTCTAGAATGCAACATTTCGGGGTATAAGCGCGTGAAGACTAGTCTGATGCATCTGGACACCTTCAGTATCTGAACGGATCATAACTCGTTTACAATTGAGGACGCCCTGGGATGTGTCCAAAATGCAACAATTTCATGCGTTGGAACACATTCAAAAACCAAAACACGTGCAAACTCTTATATATTGCAGAAGGATTATGACGCGTTTTCGGGTTTTGCTTCCTTTGGATGCAGTAGAGATGAACGCATCTTAACGTGTTTACTTTCCGTCCCAGAAAAATTAAAAATTACCATCACTCTGTATCGGAATCGAACCGACGCACCATAGCGAGCTATGCTATAACACTCAAATCCTGTGAGCAACAGAGCGGCGACTTTTTCAACCACAGCTTGAACGAAGATTTGAACACACGACCAGTCGATTACGAACCGAACACAACTAAGCTGAGCTAAAAGCAGCTCGAACTTGGCTCTGTATTCATTAATCGCTTCATTAACTCATATAACACTGCTTGTTGAAACTTTGCAAATAGAGCTGCTATATTTTCACTTCGTGAAATATAAATAATGTGTTTATCAAAAAAAATTAAGATAAATATATTCTTGATATTCAGAAATAATCTTTTTATATTAAAAGCAAAGATTGCAGAATAAAAAAATTCGCTCCGTGATGAATAAATTTATAAATATGTGGTATAAAGGCACTGATTTGCACTTTTTTCTTAATGGTAATGAGAAGTGAAGATATTAGTAGAAAAAAAGATGTGCAAATATTCTTGTCTACATCCATTTTTGTGACTATGATATCAAAAGTTTTTTAGGCATCCGAAGAAAAAGAAATATTAGGCTCTAATTTAGAAATAAACCGTCATTTTTATTGAACTTCATTTTTTCTTATGAATAAATTATTTATGCAACTTTGTCTTAAAACGATAAGTTTTTAGAAAGTTTTTATCTTTATGCTTGTAAGTAATAAAATTCCGTAATGTATCTATCTTTAATGTAAAAATAGAAAAGTTTCATTTCGAATCATTTTATTATAGAGCACAATAAAGATAACCCAACAAATCTATTTGAAAAAGCACTTGTGAAATTCCGATTAATGAAATAGTTGGAAATAAAAGTATTATATTCAAAGGATTTATTTGTTTTTCTAAGATAAAAGTGATGAAGTGGCCAACGACATTAAGATTGTAATCTGTCGTCTACTGATGCAGTCTTAATGCTAAGCTCTGGTTTGTTTCTGACACAAAGTGTTGATTATTTTCTGGCGTTTTTAAGAATAAAGTAAACGCGTTTATCTCATAACAGTACTATAAGTGGAAAAGTCAGAAAATGTATATTGATGCGTTGTCAACAGGGACAAGTTGACACACGTTTCGGTTTTCGAACCCACGAGGGTGTGGATGTGTGTCGGCATCCGCACGTGCGTATGTGGAGTGGAAGGATGTGGATGTTCATTTCATACAGATGCATGCACCCACACTTCACACCTAACAAGAGACAATACTCAATCGAGACGGCTTATAATAGCTTTTTGTTTTACGGTTGTCTTTGGAACGAGCTATTTACTGATCTTATTGTTGAACATCCATTTGAAAAAGGGTTTTGCTAAAGATGTCTCACCGAATTCTTTCTTGAAAGTTGTCCTCGGGAATACATACAAAATAAACCCAAGAACTTGTGGTGCATACGAGAGTAAATGACCGCCAAGTAACATATGGCGTTGCCAATCGATCGGTTCTGTGCACGCCAAACTGAGAATGATGAGCCACTGAGGGAGAGTTGAGAGCGTAATGACTCCTGGAGTAACATAAAGTTCTTTTTGTGCGTACAATTATTTTTTTAGCACTCGATAAAAGGATATTTTTTGTCCACTTAATCGAGCGCGACTATGAGCAGCAAAAACAATACGGAGAGTGATAGAAATTGTTTGAATGAGAAATGCCGCCCAATAATGAATCAACATTAATATTCGATTATAAATTAAAACCGAGCTAGACCCAAAATTTGTGACGCAAAGCGATGGACCAGACGAAAAGTGTCGAATGATTGTGTACGAGATTAATTCGTGTACGTGCATGCAGAGAAGCACGACTACTGTAAAAACGCTTATTCCGATAGCTAAACGAGCATTTTTGAGTGCGAGTGAAGTTGGAACGAGAACAAGAAGACAGCGATTGACACTTACCGAGCTATTTAGCCAATAGGTCGATCGTGTTAACACAGACAATAGGAATGAAACCATCTTACATGAGACAACATTATAATGTCCGAATAAGGATTCGACGAACTTCCATAGTAGACAGACTAATCCTATCTGATTGAGACAGGTTAAGACCAATAAATAGTTACCCGTACCAAAATTTTGTGGCAAAGGTCTTCGAAATGTAATAAATGAGCAATAATTATTAAAGAACCCAAGACTGACGAAAAAACAAGCTAAAATGAGATAGATTATCTTCACTTTAGTCGATGAGTTAGCAAGAAGTGAACTTATAGTAAATCCAAACGGTTCCATATGAAATTCACAAAGGTAACCTCTATGACAGGGTGGGCAAATACAAATGAAATCATTGAAATCTTTGTGATCACCTTGGAAACATTTTCCTCCAGACAGACAATGATCACAGCGACCATTTCTCGTATGCCGAATAAAACATTCAACTCATTCATTCTCTGTTTCACATAAGCAGAGATAAATGCCATCGTAAAAGCAAAGTAGGCCAGTGTCATTTTGGCAGAAATGATGATACTGAGCGATGGTGAAAGCTGAACGATTGACATCTGTAAAGAAAATTGTAAAACAAGCGAAAACAAGTTTCTATTTAAAGCAGCTTACTTTTAGATAAGTGCAACGAAACATGTAGACATTGTTGTGGAACTGAATCAATGTCGATAACTGATCGAAGCATAACATACATGATAAAATATTTCACCTGTTCTTCGTTGTCATAAGTTTTGAGAAGGCTAATGTAGGGCGCATTAGCATCAGAATGTAAGTAGCGCAGCGTTGACGGAACGCCTGCATACAGTTTTTGATACTGAATGAGAAGTGTTGTACAATTGAACAACAATCGCTCGAACTGATGATATTTTTGTCATATTCAATCTAATACGAACCGATGCACTCTCATTTTCGCATCGTTTCCCATGGAATCGCTGTGAACACGAACATATAAAAGATACTTCGCCACTTCGACTATGAATTAGAAAACACGTTCCATTATTCCAACAAGGATTCGACGTGCATTCATCGTATTCAAGAAAGCAACGGCGTCCAAAATAACCCGGTAGACAGATGCAAATGATCTTCGTTTTGTTCAACTGACTATGATCATAATCTGGCCGACAGAGAGCATTTGCTGAGCAATAAATGCCGCAACGAGACTCATAAAGACTACATTCGTTCTCACAATGACCCTTGTTACATGTACAATAGTGAGATCGACGGTGGTTAAAAATTGGCTGACAAGTGGAATTCTCGTTGCATCTACTTTGCTGACAAGGATCAAGTGTCGCATTGTCGAACCAAAATGGAAATCTCAAAGCAATTGCCAAACGAAAAGCCGGCAAATAATCGAAATAGATCGGATAACGCCAAGAACCTAGTTCTTGGATAGCTTCATTACGGTGAAGCGTAAAAACATCGAAATGAACTGAATAGGGATGAGTGATGACAATGTCGGTTCGATTGAAATAGCGCCATCGTTTGTGTTCAAGCATTGAAACAGAGCGTAAGTAAAGAAGATAAAATTTATGTTTCACTCTTCTCATGCTTTCAATTGTGGGAATCACATAGAATTCATGAAAATCGATCGTCAGATTCTCGAAGAGCAAATTCGCCGTAATTTTGAGTGTCTTGTTGAGTAGCATTTTCTGATCAAGCTGCGCGATGACGCTGATTTGATCACTGAAGAACTGACACCAACGACCGTAATACGCTGGTGCACATGCACAGCTAGTTTCATTCAGTTCGAGAATTGCCACGCCTCGATTACACACATAGGAATATTCTACAGCGATCTGTGCTTCTTGTTCGATGGCCCTGCCTTGAATTTGCCATTCTTTGGTTACGTCAGTTCGGCGTGGATATAACGAAGGAAAGTAGAAATCCGAATAGCACTTCACAGTTACTTGCTTGTCTTCGTGATAAAAAAAAGTTGATTCTCAAATGAGCCCCAAGTGCACCAATACTCATCGTCTCCATGCAAGCATTCCCTTTGCCCAGTGCACTTATTCTTCATTGTCGAGCAGACATATGGGTAGGGCTCGAAGTCCCTATCACACCGCAATGCGAAACCCCACATCTCCGTTGCCTCCAACTTTGATTTGACTGCATTTTTCTCATCATACGCATTGTAACAATGTTCTATGTCATTGTTAATTTGAGCTAGTTTGATGCCAGAACGATTTGACCGAATATTCAGAGGATTCGAAACTTCAAATCGAAAGCAAACACCTTCATAATATGTGTTACAAATACTCGAAAATGGCGGGTTCGAATAACGTTTTTGACACTGTTCAACACGGACGTGTAGATCAACGAGGTGATTATTATGAAGAGACGAATTTCCGACGAGGCCAATCGCCTCTTCATCCGAAGCATCGTCACAATCCCATTCACCATCGCATACCCACTCGAGTTTGATACATTGTCCTGTTCGACACTGATATTGATTCTTCATACAGATCCAATCTGCACACAAAGACGGAGATTCGTCCATCTGATCGCTCAAATCCCAGAAACTATCGCAATACCAGCGGGAAAAGATCTGCGTGGTTAAAGCTATTTCTAAGCCATGGGTAGCTAAAATATTTTGAGTAAAATTCTTTAGCGATGACTGCCCGATGTATTCTCTCAAGCGGGCACAATCTGAATGATCCGTCTCATCACATTTTCTATTTTGTTGAAGAAAAGAGCCAATGCCATACCACACTTCATCATAGTCATTGAAACATTCGGGAATTCCTGTACCTAACCGGAGGACTTCAAGACATTTGCTTTCGTTATTGAAGTATAGAAAACGATGCCGTGCGACAAGTCCTATACAATAATTCTTCTTGAAAGCGGCATTATCATCTTCCATCAGCAAACAGTTTGAAGATCCATCTCGGATTCGGTATTGTGAGATGCATGGTCCTCCATTTTGGCATACACCAGGATGTACGGCGTATGGACGACCGTTGAAAGTCAGCGAACTATTCCAACAAAACCTATCAAATTGAAAAGCTGAGTGAAAATCTTTGTTAGCAAACGCATAAAATTCAAGTGCACAAAGTATAGAGTTTCCATGAGGATTTGCAAGGATAAAGTCCTGGGACATACAAAAGTATCCGGGTTGCACAAGATAAAATCATCGGCATCGCAGACTTCCGCCAAGTGCGAAAATATTGACATTTTCATTGTTCATAAGATCGCTATGATGATAAAAGAAGAACATATTTGCATTAATGAGTCCGTGTGATGGATACGGTACCACGCTAAGGTTTCCCCTACACAAACCCCATATCATCGATGAACAGTTTTGATGAGTACATGGACAATCGTGCTCGAAACCATCGGAAAACAGGCACCGAACTAAGTATTGACATACTTCATCCTGGGTCAGTTTTGAAGAATCGATCTCGCTCCATGGCGGATACCGCCAATCATTGTAATTCTTCTCGGGGCAACATAATCCGCTTTCGAGCGTCCATGCTGGTCGGTTCCGGCTTACCTCACACATATAGTTCAAATTCCGTTTGTTGAAACAGTCATCTCTTGCTGAATACAATCGTTGAAATGCCAATCGAGTTTCCCAATGAACACATTGGCCATCACCACATGAATACATTTTGTGAGGGCAGAGGTGTTCATCACAATCCATTGTGTTTGGGTCGTAGGGGCGTTGCGTTTCATGTTCAAAATAGAGCTCATCACCGCAGTCCATGCAATCATAAGTTCCTGAAAGAGAACCGATTGCATTTCGAAAAGTTCATTCAGCCTTCCAGATACGAACCATCCAGTCAGAATTCCTCAGCAATGCACATCCCGTTTGTGCATCGAAACTCATCGCCTTCACGTTCACTGAATTCTAATTTATCCAAATTTTCTTCATCAATCCCGTTGGAACATCGCTGAACACCATCGCAAATTTCTCGCCAGTCAAGACAAAGATCACCCGTGTTACAGGGCAGAGTCTCGTAGCAGATAATCTTTCCAAACAGTTGAGTGTTCCATGAATCTTGTGTCTCTTTTTGCTTGAATTGAGTTTTGATTGTTTCACTAAAATATATTTTCCCGTGCTAATTTATACTCACAATATTTGCCGAAAGTTCCCCAGACTGTACAATTGCAGACGAATTCTTGTTCATCGTCGTGCAGAAACGAATAATTGTAGAAAACACGCGCATAGAGATCAGCTATTTCCACACTTGAACTCCACTGAAGAAATTTGCTCGGTTCGACATCTCGATCGATGAGACGTTGGAAAAGAATTTTGTCGCTTTCATTCTCGCATATTGTTCTCTTTCGATCGAGTTTTTGAATGCCGTTCAAACGTTGCCAATAAGGGATTTCTTCACCGTTGTCATTCACGTAATAGATGCAGTCGAACTTTTCAACAATTTCATCGTTCTCAGTATCATAAATGAGAATTCGACTGTTTGAAATAGTAAAGATCAACACGAGCGTAATCAGTCGACCAGTCAACATTTCTACAGCATTGGTTGATCACAAACAACAATATTTAGCACAGGATTGGATTACCATGATCCTATATTGATCGATGAAAGTATGAATCGGATGGGAAAATATATGTTTCTTGTGAGTAGAGGTATTTTCTGAGAATAGTCTTGCGCAACAATGTTCATGGTTGGGACGTAGTCGATGATCACGTATGAAATGGTTGTGACAAAATGAGAGTCAATAAATGAGTGACACAGTGGGAAAATCTTTATTAATCCAACCGACCTGAATGATAGGGAATCAGTCTGGCTTCCCGACATTCAGGTCATCCCGAACATTGTGTAAAATCCTCTTGGGAGATCTCAATCAATGCCTGATGGGTGTGGGTGTGGGTATGCACCAGTCAGCTGTCACACCCACCCACACGACTTCATGGGGCACTTGAATTTGCGGCAAATTCAAAATACTTATACCGGTATACCACTATATCGCTATACTGTTAGTGTTATAGCGGTATAGCGGTACCTAGATGTCACGTATCCCTTACAGAGACAGATAGACAGGGGAGAAGGTACCCCACACCCACACTAGGTACCTCTCCCCTACACCCACACCCTCAAGGGACGTTCTTAGAGCCAAGCTCTAGCAACAATTTATCATTAAATTTAGAGCAGATATTTGATCTCGATAAAAATCTAGAAATAAATCCAAGCTGATCGATTGGCTTAATCATGAAATAACGAACCGAGACGAATTCTCTCAATCTAATCGAAAAAAATATGTGTAAGTCTTTCGGTGTGGTTTTTAATGAAGATGAAAATATTTAAAGATCAGATCAGAAGTTTTTCTTATTATGTATATGAAGAAAGATGTTGACGATGGATCATCAGAGAATTAATGTAGTAAATAATACTGGCGCTACCAAACCATTATAGTCAGCTTTAGAATATGGAATGAGTGTGAGCGAAGGGGAGGCTCTACCCCTCACATTTACCTGTATACTCTATCAATAGTTTAACTAGTCATATACGATGCTGGTTTTGAGAAACATGTGTAACATTATGCTGGTATAACTGTTGACCGTTATATTTATGAAGTTTGTTTTCTACGATAGTTACTTTATATCCAAAGTAGAATGCATGCAATCTTTACCTTATAAGTTTTTTTATTTAATCTTTCCACGAAATAGAATCCCTACCAAAACAGATAACAGTTTTAAAATACAACAATTACACTCCATGTCGTATTTGAAACAAAAGACTAGCATTTTCTCCATCAACAAACTCCATTAGAATCTTCTTTTAAGGAACATAGTTCTTTCAAGTAATTTGAACGTTTTTGAATGTCTATTTTTGAAAGCAACGATCATTTTCATAAAGAAAAATTGATTAATTCATTATTTTTAGATTTAGAGAGCTTTATGAAATAAAATGAAAGATGATCATTTGAGCGACTTTATGGATACTATTTATTTCATGATTTCGTCTAAAAGAAACATTGTCTTAATCGACAAATAGAAAAGCTAATAAGGTAGTGTAGTACGAAGTATAAAAAATAGCATCATCAATATATCCTACCATGCCACCGATTGGTAGCAGTATATCGATTAACGATGTTCTATCAGTCGCTGACCTATTGAGTGCATATTATTCCTTAGTAGTTGTAATTGTGAGTATCATAGTCAATGGTATCACATTTGCCGTTTTCTGTCGATCAACACTTCGTGACACCGATAGACGACCACCAGTTCACTATTTGCGGAGCACGACTATTTTCAGTATTCTTATGTTGTATGGATGGAATCTTTATCATTATCTTTTAACCATATACAGGTTTAGACTTCAATTCTCTTCAGTACCATCATGAAAGTTTTTCTCATTTCTCAATCATTTTGCAGCCGAAGTCTCAGATTGGCTACACGTATTCATCGCTATCGATCGGTACTTGACATCGAGTCGTGTTCGTCGAACATGATTGAATCATTCACAAAATGTTCCTATCACTATTGGATCCATTATAATTTGTTTTACTCTATTCAATTTCCATTTCGTTCTATTTACGCACTACTATAGACCCGATGGTTCTGTTAATGAAGAAGGAACTTAAATCAACGTACTCAAAAACGAGCCATTTCGTTTGCACTGATTTCGTTGACATTTTCATTTTGAATTATGACGATGCCAGCCAATATTATCTTTGGATTTTTCTATTTCACAACAAGTGTAACCGTTCAAAATTTATTCGATTCAGTACTTCATACTTATCGTGTCATAGAATTTTCGATATATTTTTTTTGTCCTTTTCGAATTTCGGCGAGAGGCATTGGCGATGATGCATTTCAATTTTAGGCCTAAAAGAATGACGCCAACATTCATGAATTCTATACCCGTAATAAATCCGAATCGATCTATTCCATTGTCAACACACCGATAAAGATTCAATCATGATGCCGCATCCACAACCTCGACTCTTTTGAAGACGTAGATTTCAAACATGATACGTTTTCAGAATGTATTGCTTTATTATAACGAAAAGAAAAATATACATATAATGAAAAGAAATAGATATAGTTCTATTGAAAGGATGAGGTTTGTTCCGCTGATCATGGTAGATGAGCATGGCTTCATCTGGATATTTCATCATGTTTTTGAAACTATGCAAGAAAATAATACACGAAATGCCTGCTGATAAACATACAGCACTAATTAATAATAGTTAGTAATGCGAATATTCATGCTTTTTCTTTGATGAACTTGTAATGTTTTGGTGCAAATGAATGATCACAGTATCAGAGTTAAGCTTAAAATTTGCCTTCTCAATTCTTCTATCTATATCGAATGGTGATTATTCTTTGCTTTCCCTTGAAACGATGGAGAATAACAGCTAGCATCTGTTACACACTAAGCCTCCTAAATATAAGATACAATATATTCATTCTGCTTGCTCTCTCTTTTCCACCATAATTATTGTATTTTTCTTATTTTTAGTAAATTGAATACGAAAATCCAAGTTAGAAATTCATAACCACAGATATCCAATAGTTTCGTAGTGTGAAAACAAACTCGGATATTTTTCGTAATCATACATTTATCAGACCGTCATATTCATTGTCTGGATGAAGTTCTTGTCACGGTTCTTTGTTTTGCTGGTTCTATTAATTCCAGTTTCTGCTGTCAACATTCTTGTTCCGGTTAGCGTAGGTAAAAATGAATCTCATCCTAATCTTCATAGATTATTTGACTGTACCCTTTCTGAGCCTTCTTTAGATCCATCTGCCAGTAAATCTAGCATTGATGCCTTTGTTGGTTCATTTCAACATAACGCAATAATTCATGTGCCTGCTAATGTAAAGGGCATTGATACAGTTGTTATTACCAAAAACAGTTCGACATCGGCTTTAGTCAATATACGATTAGTTATTCCTTATGGCGGTCATGTATGTGCATTTGGTTATGGTGCTGTTAAATTTGCTTACGATTCATCAAATAATCGATTGATTTATGAACCTTGCAAATTATACATTACTGAATCAAAAGGTGCATTAACTTTACATGATCCTAATAACTCTTGCCTGGCTTGTAATAATATGGGTGTATTTGATGGACTCGTATTTCAACCTGGTTCGCCGGCTGGTTCAATCGACGATTTCATTGGTTCTTTTTATCATTCTTCGATAAATGGTAATAAAGATACGGCAGTTATTGTTAAACAAACATCAACAACAGCGTTGCTTTCTCTTAGTGGTATTCTTCCTGGCGGAAAAGTGTGTTCATTGAACACTATTAAAGTTGAGTATGTTCCTAATACAGTTCCTCCACGGCTGTTGGCTAATGGTTATGTCGATTGTGCATTATACTTTACACAAGAAAAAGATGGTAAATTAACTTTACGTGATCCAAGTTTTAATTGTGCCCGTAACAATTGTGGAGTATTTGAACTATGGGAAGTTTCAGTTTTTCAAAAGAATTAAATAATTGAATAAATCTACTATTATTAATAGTGATATAATTTCTTTTTTCCTTTCAAATGTTTCAGTTTACTAGATCGCGATGTGTTTGTAGTGTAAAAAGAAATTATAGAAATATAAATGAGAACCACTTTATATTCTTTAATGGGTATGCGGGTGTAGTTGTGACTCTCAGAGTAGAGCAATCATTAGTTTTCTTTAGTTCAGGGTATGGTTAGTTGGTGGTGTTAGAAGATGGGCGGGGACGGGGGACGACAATTTATGATTACAACCTGTCTTCTTCCATACACCCACAGTTATATTGACTTCTGTTTGTCATTCTAAATTGTTTGCTCAGTTAATTATCTCGAAGATTTATTAAATAAAGATAATTATAATATGACTATTATTCATAAGTTTTTATAAGAATAATACTTTTTTTATTAGCTATGAAAACTTTCATTACAAATAGCCTTGACCAAGTCGCAATGCATCTTCATAGGCTTTAATAGTGCGTACTAAATTGTCTCGTCGGCTCGTTTGTTCCGTAGGTTCTTTCATGAAACGCAGTAAATCTGACGAGGGACAAGCTATTGTTAAAGCTTGATCGATAACAAGAGCGCATTTTGTGATAAATTGATGATAACATATTTGAGAAATAGTATCAATAATACGTTTTCTTACAACCTAAATTTTAAAAAAAACGCTAATTTATAGAGATATTCGCGTTTTAAATAATTTACCAAACAGTAAGATTCCAATGTTATTTGAATATCTACGGCTGCTAGAGATTCATAGAATGTTAATTTATGTGAACTAGGAACCATCATGGGAGTGGCAGGCGATGCTGCTGTTAATATTTCAGGTTTTACAGTTGAAGTTGAATCATCAACTTTCGAAATTAATGCTTCAGATTTCGAGCCTGGAATTGGTTTGAGAAGCTTTTTTAAATCGGTTTTCTGTATAGAATCAATCTGCATTATTAGTGGAGCAGCAGCAGTCATTGTTATCGGAGGTGGTGGAGCTTCGCCTTGTTGCTCTTTGTCTTTCTTTATAAGTCGTTCTTTCATTTCGTTAACTTTATCGGGATATAAATTATTTATTGTAAAAATTCTATATTCCATATCTAGTATTTCTTGAATGCGTTCAGTTGCTCGGTCAGCAGCTAGATCAATTTGTTTAATGATAACATCTTTAAGTTGTTCAACTAGACGAATATATTGAATATCAAATGTTTGATGAAAAATTCGCAATAAACTTTCTTTGAGATATTCGCTAATACGTGCAATTAAAGCAAAACAAGTACGCGGTATACGTTGAAGTTCGCCATGAAAAAGTCGTTCGATTATTTGATAACTCGGAAAATTAGGTAACGATACGCCCGCACCATCATCAATCGCTTGTAGAACAAGTTTATAATAATCCGATGAGAAAAAATCAGAAAAACTTTTCATAAGTTCATCTTGAAATTTTCTTTGAAATCTATAAATATGATAGGCAAGACGATCATCGCCAAGCATAGTATCCATTGAATTTTCACTTGTTTTACACGAAGATAACATTTTAGAATCAATTGATTTTGCTGATATTTGATTACTGTTAGTAATCGTATTAATTCTTGTTAATATATCATAATCTCCATTGACTTTAGTTCGAATACTTTCACGAAATGCATTTATCATCGATTGAAATTTCATCCAGCAATCTTGTTCTGATGTCATAGGAATCGGAATATTTTTAAGTTCAAGCGTTTTTTCTCGAATTTGTTTTCGTAATTCTTCAATAACTTGTGGAAGAGTTGAACGAATACGATCTTGCTGAATAATTGCTAATTTTTTAACCAATTGATCGATACCTTTAAATTCATCAGGTAGATATTGAAATGCTTCATGATGTTTGAGAAAGAAATCGGCTTCACGTTTCTTCATTTCTTCAAATGAAATATTTTCATCGATTTCATCTTGATTCCGATTAAGTACAGCAATACAACCCAATTTTAATTGCATCGCTCCTGGCCCTCGGCCTAACAGCTTTTCCGCAATACCTTTATCATATTTATCAATTTTTGAAACAGCTATTAACTGTCGAAGACATTGTGGATCAAATTCTTTAGCTAATTTCATCGATTCTGATGTTGCAAAATCAACCGATGCTGGAATAACATGTAAAACAACCTTAATCGATTTAGAGAGTTTTCGAGAGAGAGAAAAAAAATCAATTATCTTACTGCTGTTACTGGTTCTATATATTTATTGATTAAATTCAAAATCTGTGCATGAATATCTTTGGGTTGACCAGGAAGTGGATTTCGAGTGATTCCAGGTAAATCAATAAGCGTCAAATCATACGGCATATGTCGTTTATACACTGTTAAATAGATCGGTGTCGAGCTTACATTTGTTCCTTCACCAGCAATTTCTTTAGTAAGTCGTGTAACTGCATTACTAATCTCATTCATATCATTTAAGGTTTCAGCTGCATCTTCTGATCGTTTACTATTACGAATGATAGCGTATTCAATGTTTGCCGTTGATTTCATTCGTAATTCTAATGGACATCGTGTACAAATGTTTTGTGCTCGAGGTAATTGTATTCCCGAAATAGCTTCAAGTACCGATGATTTACCGACTGATTGATCGCCAACTACTATTATTTCTGGTAAAGTTATCTTTTCATTGTGTAATATTTCACGCATTCGATCCACTGCAGACAACAGACCACTGGATTCTTTGGTATTAAGTTCGTTGACTAACATAATATATTTCTTAAATATTCAACAATCAGATGAAATGATGTTTCAATTGTGTAGATTGTTTTGTAAGAATCTAGAAAAAGAACTCTATCAGATAGAATTTAAATAAAAAAACGTCAGGTGAAAATGAGAAAAAAAAGATCACGTGGTTGTCTAAAATAAATCTTAGTATCAACAATGTGGCTATCATTCTACGAAAATCAGAGACTGTTTCTCTTATTAAGTCGGAAAAAGATTATCAGAAGTTTTAAAACAATATCTTTAGTTCAAATAAATATGATAATAGTGTTTATAATTAATAGATGTAGTTTTGAAAATTCTTTGAGTTCGGAGATGACAGTAGTTAAGATAATTTGTTTACTGATTTATTTGATTTAAGTAATACCAACATACTGTAGAAACTCATTTATATCATCATGAGATGCATATCCATTGCATGATTTATTTTCTTCTAATGATACTATTGTATGCGATAGATGCAACGGAATGTGATAAATATCATTTTATTCTTTCGTTGAGATTAACCATTGTGTTCGCCTGTTATGCAAATTGATGTGATGGTTCTCCGTAAGCTAACGTGTGTACCATTGTTTTCTCTCGAAGAAATTTGACATACAATGTTTAGTTTATATTTTTTCAATGTCAATTTCATTTTGATTCTGTGTGATGAATCGCACGTTCGTTCTATTGATTGATACCTACTTACGCTTTTTCCTTCCCTGCTGCTTTGATAATTGATGAAATGATATATCGATTTCTTTCTTCTACCACCGATTATTTATGTCGAATGAAAAGCCTAGAAACAAATCTCGATGAAAACTTAAATTCAGTATTTGTTTTTTCAAAAATATACTAAGTTCTAGCAAATTTTTATTCTTATAAAAATAGCTACATAACCAACCTGATATTTAAGGTCATCTTATGTAAATGCTGTTTTGCTAGAGTTTCTATTATTTTTCGCATTAGTGTTTATGCGATTCCATATAGTGTATCGTCTCAGTCAGAAACGATAAAAACAATGTCGATTCTTATTTAGACCATTCTTATTTACATCCTTTTCTGTACTGTCAAATCATAAAAGACGGATAAACTTTACTGCGTATACATAAAAAGATGTACAAAAATGAAAAGGTCATGGCTATAATATCATTCCATTCAAGATTTAGCCGTATTATAAATTTTTCTCCGAAGCGACTCAATTGTTTTCTTTATCAGGGTTTTTTGAAGAAATTCTAAAAAATATTGTACGATTTATGTCAAGCAAAAAAGAAAGCGTCTGTATTTTCTGTTGATTGACATAATTAGTAAAACAAAAGCTTTGGATACAATGAATCATATTTATGTGCCTGCATCAAGGAAACTATCAATAGCTTTTATCTGACGAAGAAAAAAAATTGTCTTTTCTTTTCTAGAGACAGTTATACGCAAAAAATACACAATGGATATATGCAGCATCGATTCTATTTCGAGCGCTGTGTATTTCATTTATTAGTGTAATGAAACGGATGTGGATATGTGTGGATCTCCTTTTCAGTTACACTCAGGGTTGCCACCTGATGAAGTTTAAAAAGCGGAAAATAGCGGAAAAAAAAGCGGAAGCTTATATTGTTGCAGATTTGTAATGCTTCTGAGAATATTAGGTATTTTTTCATATTTATTGTATTTCTTTTTATTTCATCAAAATTTCAAAACACAAAAAATGATGACTCACGGTATTTGTAAACAATAAGAACTGATTCAATTTGATATGCAACATGTTTTATACGAAAAAGCGGAAACTTTCCGCAAAAAGCGGAGGATGTGGCAACCCTGATTACACCCACATGCCAATATATTTTCTCAACTACCCTGATGAAGATCAACATAGTCCATAACAGTTTAGTATAGAGTTAAGACTTTCTTTTATACTTAAATTAAAAGATGGCACCATGCATATACCGGCAGTTTCAAACGATCAATCAATATATCAACCATTTCGAGATGTTTGCGCTGTTGTCATAGTTTAACAACTTGAATGACTGACAGAAATGAATAAAATTTTGAATGACATGTAATACTCTAGTATATTGAATCGAGTAACGTAAGACATATTTTAAAAGATAATTAGTATTTGAAAATGAATTGAAGAGGAAACGCGATATTTAAGAAGGCTTTAGTATCAATTGAAAAGCAGTTTGATCTTTATATCTTAGCTACAAATTAATTTACTAGTCGAAACTTTCATTTTTTCATCAATCGAAATAACTTATAGAATCAACGTAGTGCAGATGTTGATGTCACGCTTCGGCGATTCTCCTTCCTCCTTCTTCTATTCTCTTTCCATTGTTCTAATATCTCTTTGGATATATGATGAAGCGAATAAACATCATTGTCGAGAGTGGCGGTAAGCTACTCCACCTCTATCCCGTTTGTCATAATATATCAATCCCAAAAACAGGGTCCCTATTTATCGTTACAGATGCGTGGGATGTTTGTTTTAACCAAAAGGAAACTAAATCGATACCAATATTGAGAACTGCCCAGGTCGAGAAATTGACGTCGGAACCCATTGAACTTCCAATGACATCCAACAGTGTTTCTTTAGAATTCATAGGAATCCGACGATAGATCTGTAGGGTCCGACAAAATGAGGGTGCGGACTCCTACTTATCTGGCACACACGTCTACCAACACTCACACTCAAATATTCGTTCGATGAATCTTAGTTTACTTCTGTTTATCATGTCCTCATCATAAATTTATATCTATAAGTCTATCATTGTACGACTATTTTCGGAAAAATAGTACTTTCGAATCTTTTCAAATAAAAATCGACGTGATGATAGCCTTAAAAATAACAGTACCATAGGTAATTCGTACATTTCTATTGGTTTTAGATACATTGTCACATCAGCCCAAACTCTGCATTCAAAACGGCAACTGGAATGGAACAGTTTCGGTACATTCTTATTCACCCTTTTAGGTGATGATGTAATACTTTTATTTGAAAAAGCAAACAGATGAAACGATCAACAATAGAAAACCAAAAGCGAATGCCAACTTGGAAGGAGTGTTCACATAGCCACCAGTACTTGATGGAGTGTCTGTTTTTGAAAACTTTTGAATTCGATAGTTGTTTTCATCGCTTACATACAAGCTTCCCTCATTGTCGAACGCCAAGTAGATGGGACTATTCAGTTGATTGGTCGCATTACCTTGCCCATAACCACCTGCGATAGTAATGCTGTTTCGTGCACCCGCCGGTACACACACGATGCGATGATTACGTATGTCTACCACATAAAGTGTCCCACTCTTATCTCGAATCATGTCACCTGGTATATTAAATTGATCTGTTCGATTACCGATTCCGGTACCGCCTGCGACAATAACTCCTTTATTAGCATTGACCATCCATTTCACTATACGATGATTACTAGAATCTGCTACATAGACAGACCCATCCTCGTCCACTGCGACACCTCGAGCTGCAAAGGCAAGGGATAAATAGAAATTAACACACCAGTCAAACAATACTGACCTACTTCGTTTACTATGTCGATTTCACGTATGCCATTGATGGCGAGTAACTTTTATAATGGTACATGAGATTTTTGAATATTCTTATCACGATAGTCAAGCTGATCAAGAGCAGACCCTGCACCATTGCCACCAGCAACGACACTCACGAATTTTCCGTCCTTCGTATATTTCAGTACGCGATGCTCACGATGATGCCCGAGATAGAGATATTCTTCATTCTGATCCCAAACTATGCCGTAAATAGAAGTATTGACAGTAATGAGTGTTTCGAACGATGCAGCTCCTTTTTTTAAAAACACCACACTTCCAATCGAGTCACTCTGAACAGTGACGAATAAAGTGCCCTCCTTGTTGAATGTAATGGCACTAGGATAGCAAAATTCTTCATTAGTATTTGTCCCGCATAGCTCTCCAATATGAAGACTGCCATGTGATGCCCCCTGTTCCCATTTAATTACTCGGTGATTTGAATAGTCACTGACAAAGAGTGCATTATTTGAATCAACAACAATACCATATGATGAGTTCAATTGGTTAAGAGCACTGCCTGGGCCATTACCACCAGCTACTGTTTTGCCGTTCGATTCCCATGTTGTTCCAGCACATGATGTTGCTGAAAATGTTTTGATTCAATTATTTATGTTCACATTTCTGATAAACCCTCACCAAACTATATGCAAAAATGTCTCCTTTAGGCAGTGATTGGTATCTAAAGGTATACTTTCACGTATTGTGGTATGTACTCAACTTTTGCGTAAATCATATGACAAAGAAGTAGGATGAAATGATAAGAAATTAGAAAAGTCTATTCCACTGAGTTGCAATCAGCATTAGGATGCAGGAAAATCCCTGGGACTCGACGGAATCGATCGGTTTCTGCAACTTTCTTGTTGATATAGAAATGACGGATTGCAGAGATATATTAGATACTCACCTCTTAATGAATTTCGATCATGAAGTTTGTAGCTAGATACATAAGCTACGCTGCACAGCAAGAAGACGAAGAAAAGCGCCTCACATTTTGTCATCATTACAAGAAAAATAAACGAGTGTGTACCTTTATTTTCTCGTACTGAGAGATAACGATACGTCATTATAGTATTTGAACAAGATAGATGATTTAGCTTTTTCTTCTTTTCTTTCGTTATCAATTCAATTGAGACTTGCGCAGTTAGAAAAAAATTGATTTGATCGACGTAAAATGAGTTTCTTGCATGAATAATAATTCTTTTTTTATTAGCTAGTTCCTCCTTTGAATAAAATAATCTTTGTTTTATGTTTAGTTCAACATGTTATCCACTCGACTATAGGGAAGACCATATGAAATAAAATGAGTTTATTTGTGAGTACGTTTATCTTCATGCATTCGCGTCTATGAGATGATTCACAAAGTTTGACGGAAAATAATTGTTGTCGAGGAATCCAAATTTACTGTGCTTTATCTGAGCTATATATTAAATTTTACTATAGGAAAGTCTTATTGAAACTTGGCGAAAATTGTATGTTTCTAAATACCCGCAATTCGTTGAAGCACATCGATGAGTGACTAGTTTCTAATAAGAATAGTTTACTTCCGTATCCACCAAGAAGCGTTCTAGATTAAAGTAAACAATCGTTTTGAAATGATAATCAAAATAACTCGGACAGTCTAGAACGTCGCTGTAGCTTTCTAAGGTATAAATAGATTACAATAATTGTTAGTTTAGAGTTTCACGCCAAAAACTCTTTCTTTATGAATCGATTTGGTTTTGAATGAGCTAGAGAATTAGAAACGGAGAGGATTACTCTATTAGATACAGCAACGGTTAGCCACTTTTTTTTTGCTCACTGAAATAATAATAAAAACAGTGAAGAAACACAGGGTTATAGAACACATTCACAAACGTCGGGTGTGGACATCCACGTTTGTGTATACTATTGCATTAGTATAAATTATATAATATCAACTAGATTTTGGTCTTTGAGGAGCAGTAGGGTGTGGATGTGTATACTCTCTTCGATTACACCCACACCCCACCCTAGTTTTTGAAGTTTCGCACTCACATTCTCAATATTTATTACAAACGAATAAAGAAAATATAAGAATAACAAAAATAAATCATATATATTTTTGCGTAGATCATTATATAAGTGCATCACAAAATAAATCAAAGGAAAACAATTTCAGTTCGATTAAGTACTAAGAAATTGATGAATATTATGTTCATCACGTTCAAGAATAGTTCGTCGAATATTGATTAATTCAAGCACCTTTTTAATTGACCTATCTAATAATGGATTAGGATGATCGACATAAAATTTCTAATACAAAAAAAAAAAGAATCATAAAAGCTACTCTGTTTAAGAAAACCTACTTGAACTTCTTCTTCACGATCTTTAGTAACAAAATGATTTGGTACATCCTAAAATAAAAATAACATTATTTCATATTTACAAAAGAAATTTGCTTGTTTTTAAAATACTTCAATAAACTTAATTAAATGTGCATCATGTTCACCATAAGTTTCTTCAATTTTATTCCAATTATCTTGCAAATATTTCCATGCTATTTCGCAACCTTTACAATTATGCGTCGCTAATGCAACAAAAGCTGTTTTATGATCTTGTTTTCGAACTTCATTCTAAAAAGATATTTTTCTAGAAATGTAAAATACAAAACAAAACAAGCATAACTAATGCCTATACCTCATTCCAAATATATTCAAGTGCTTGATATTGAATAGTTTCATCATCGAAACTACAAAGTGCCATTAATAAACGAATCTTTTCTTCCTGTGCATCAGATTTACGATAAAGCTAAACAAGAACATAACAATATAAACCATATTTACATCTATCGCACATGCTGCGAAATCTTTCAAATCTTAAATTACCGCTTTAAATTGTTCAAATGTTTCTTGATTTCCTGTTTGAGCAACAGTTAAATAAATAGCAGTTCGAATATTTGGATTAATCGATTGATGATCTTGATCATTACTGCTCAATAATGTTTGAAAACGTTTATGTGCTTCTTCACGTGTTTTGCTGTGTCCATTAAGACCCATTTGAACTAATACGAGTTCACGGAGCATAGCAGCTTGTGAACCTTCATTTGGAAATGGATCCCATTCTAATTTGCCATAGATATTCGATAGAATCTCACATATGAATGTTCGAAAAAGCTTTTTAATATTATCAAGATGAGCATAAGCAAGAATTGAATTAAGATCATCTAATTTTTGTAGTATTGATTTCCAAACAGTTAAATTATCTTCATGTTTATATGCATGCCGAAGTAATTTTAAATAATCAACATAACCAACATGACCCGAACGTGCTAATTCATAGACATCAGCTTGAATGCCAAAGCGATCTTGAGGCGAAAATGTATGATCTTGTATGCAGGGTACTAAAGCGTCAAGCATGCATTGAGAATAATTCACACGATAAATACCAACACTAAACAATTAATTCGAATAGAGATAAATCTATACGATGTCTATATATTGATAGGATCGAATTTCTTCAATAAACCTTTTTACTTTTCTATTTTTATTTGTAGAACTCACCTGAATAAATTCAATTTAATCCAATCGCTTTCTGATAGCTTTTCAAGAAGAAATTCTTGCTTTTTTTCTCCATTCATATATAACTGATGCACGTGCTCAGTTGGATTTGATTTTGTACAAATATTTATTGGAATTTTCCATTTTAAATTGTCATCTGTTGTTCCATCAGCTAGAAAACGTGTTTGCTCAATTGTTATTAGTCGATGATTTCCTTTTTGTTCTTGTGTTACCTTGATTTAAAAAATAAAAATAATGATAAAAACATAACAGTGAATCTCAAAGTTTACAGTAAGAACAGGATAGCCTATTTGTTTTGTCCATGTCGAAAGTATTTCAGACAATTCCGGTCTTTTCGATGTTCGAGATAAATGTGACCAAAGATTTTCTGTTATGGCATTTTTATATGCATATTCAGCAAGATAATTTGCTAAACCAGTACGAAATGCTTCATCACCAATATAAGCATGAAGAAAACGAATAACACTCGAACCTATAGAAATCCAACATTTCAACAACAAAAAAAAAGCAAAGACAAAAGACCTTTTTCATAAGTAATACTATCAAATATTTCATCGATATCAGTCGGCTTTTCAATAGGCATTTCAATTGGATGACTATTATGAAGTGCATCGGGAATCATGCATGTTTCTAGTGTATCCGAAACAAATTGTGTCCAAATGTCATATTCAGGATAAACATGATCAACAGCAAGAAATTGAATCCAACTAGCGAACCTTAAAAACATAGACGAAATAGAAATACAAGCAATCAAATATCTTATGAATACTTATCTTCATTAAGCCATAAGTCATTCCACCATTCCATAGTCTAAATGAAGAGTTTCTATAAAACATTTCAGCGATTAGGAATAACATACTACTAAATTTCCAAACCACTGATGTGCCAATTCATGAGCAACAGTCAATGCAAGTTCTTGTTTCGTTTCCTGTGTTGTAGTATGAGGATCAACAAGTAAATATGTTTCATGATATGTAATTAGACTAGATGAGATTTGACGAAAAGATCAAGGAGAATTTCAAAATTTTCAATTACCCCCAATTTTCCATAGCACCTACACGAAAAAGAATTAGAATAAAATATTTAATCCGTTTTACTCTTTACCATAGCCGAAGTCAGCTACTGCAATCATGTCAAGTTTACTCAATGGATATTTAACACCGAAATATTCCGCAAAAAATGGAAGAACTTTTGCAGTTGTCTACAAAGATTGTTGAAAATATAGTTGTATAAAAATTGAAAGACACTAACATGTAAAGCAAATAGCCCTCTTTCTTTTTTGCCAACTGGTGTATAGACACGAATTTGTACATTATTTGAATCGTGCGCTTCAATATAATCGTACGCTCCAATAACGTAAGCAACTAAATAGGTTGACATTATCGGTGTTGTATCGAAATCATAAATACATGTGTGAGCTCCATCGTTTCGATGAGATTTAATCGGCTAAAAGAAAATGAATTATTAGCAACAATAATTGTTTTTTCTTTACCATATTGCTTAGTGTTGTTAAATGTTTTGACGCTCGAATACTAATAGTAAATTTTGCTTTCAATGCCGGTTCATCAAAACAAGGAAAAGCTTGGCGTGCGTAGGCAGGCTAAGTAAAAAAAGGAAGACTGAGAATAAACACAAAATAAATGAGCAACTTACTTCAAATTGTGTACATGCACCTATTTGATTATTATCTTTTGTTCGATAGAATCCATTCAATTGACCATTGATGGTGCCATTAAATTCAATATGTAAGCAACCAGTTCCTGGCTAAAATATGCAATAAAGTCAATGTAAAGTTAAATAGGATCAGATCTTTTACTTTGATTTGTTCAGCAAATCTAATTGATACTTGTTCATATTCTTTATTGAATTCAACGGAACCATTGAAAAGCTGAGAGATTGGAGTTTTCTGTTGATATTCAACTTTTGTTAGGTTTAAATCGAAACTATTTAGTCTAATTTCATATGAAATTTCGGTTGTCTATATACGAAAAAAAAAATTTCTTTGAAAGGAAAAGAAAATTTTTTTTTTATGATTAACTTACTTGAATATCGATATCGACCTTGCCTTGAAAAAGATACTGTTCAAGTTGACTAGCATCAATATACAATTGATAGTGTGATGGAATGACAGTTGTTGGTAAACGATGAGTTAATTTGCGAACTGATTGATCAGTCATATTCATCATAGAACTAATAAACGAATCTAAAAGATAATATTTTTAACGAAATATCTTCGTCGAATTTACTCCTCAAAACTTATTACGAATAAACAACCAATGAACAACTATTTTCAAAGCAAATTATATTATATTATATATACGTGTCGCTATTAGTGCCCTCTATATCTTTTCGATCGTTGGTTCTCATATTTCGTCGAGCAGGTTCAGAATTTATTTGGACATAGTCCTTCAAACTCTCCACGATAGTAAAAAGAATAAATTAGTATTTATTAATGAAATGAAAAAATAAGAGACTTATCCGTTCTAATGCATACAGATTCGAACTTCTCATTTCATTGAACAGAATTCAGTAAGACGGTTAGGAATAGGAAGAATATTTGTATTATAATAGTTTAAAAAATAATTAGAGAGTTCATGGGATTAGCCTTTGCTATTTATACAGGAGTTTCTCGGATTCCGTGAATGGCATTCATTTGTCTTTTTATCATAGGAATATCCTTGATATGTTCAATCCATTTGTTAATAATCTCTAGATCATTGCGTCTGCGATGTCTGACCATATCGTCTACAGCTTTCTGATGCTCAGCTCTGAGTTTTCGAAGTTGTTTATATAACTGCGCATTGAACCTATTGCCATGTCTCGTATCACAAATGTAACTCTCTTCTGCTATCATTCGATCATAACTAGTCAAGAATGAATCATCTCGCCAGTCATGAAGTATATGTATCAAAAAATGAGCGAAATGCATGCTTGCTGAAAATAGTTGTCGATCCCAATTGATGAGCTGATCTTGCTGATAGTTCATTTTATCAACAAGATGATAATCAAGTTGATAATCGACTGGGAGATGCTGGCTCGAACGACAACTACAATATTCACATTTGCCACGATATTCGTACAGAGAATGATGGACAATCCAGAAGTTACCATGGAGCTGAATATCACGTGGACATGAGTAACATATAGCGCAAGGTTGCTGAATTGGTTTTGGAAATAGTTCGATCCAATTACACGAGGATCCATATTGGTGCAAAATAATATTTCGAAAAATAAGTTGCATTGCTTCCGTTATCGGACGAATCATTCGTATAATTTCGTGTCGCGCGTATTCTAATTGTTGCATTCCTTGATAGAGAATATATGGAGAATCGTCGTTATGAAGATACCTCAGAAGTTGATATACTCCTCTTTTTGATATCGACCAACTCTGCTCACATTTCGGTTCAACACGATCGCGCCAAGGTTTTGAGGCCAAATAAAGAAAGAAGGTACTATCAAAAAGAATTATGCGCTCGGGTTGCACGTAGAGTTTGTCCCGTGAAAATGATTGGAGTAACGATTGAGCATAGGTCTTCCTGCGATTGTCATCTTGAGACGCGGAAAGAGATTTGGTAAAACAAAAGACAAGTTTCCCATGTGCTTCTTTTCCGATAAAATCCAACAGTTGTTTCAGATAAATCTGATAGGCAGCGAATTCTGAGTCTTTTGAATCCATAACAACACAGATAGCATTCACATGTGTTAGGTTCGAGATATAGGATAGTACATGTTGCATATTTATATCGTTGCCAGCTTGATCTTGCAGATGAGAAAAGCCAGGTGTATCAATAATACGTAACTGTTGTCCATGTTTAAGATTGAATGTGTATGATTTGCAACGCTGAGTTCTGGATTGATCAGAACAATTATAATCTTCATTACGATCGTTATCTCCGAGTTGAATGATATGATGTTCGAAAGCAGTTTCTATCTGAACAACGAACGAAACAAGTATACGTAGAGCATTGTTCCTCGATCGAATTTCTGAAAGTTCTGAGTATTGCTGACAGTTGGAGATTGTATTAATTAGTGTCGATTTTCCAACCCCTGATTTACCAATGAAGATGACATTGATCATCGTTTTGGCGCAAGGCATCACTATTTGAGAGTCGCCCTTTTTTGGTGTGTCTATGAAAGAATTTCGCACACTACTAATCGAATTATAGTTCCATGAAGGGAATATTTTAAACATATCCAGCTGAAGTGGACAATAGGTGAAATCAACGTAAACTATATGTAATTTTGGGTTTGTCATGCGTTCATTGATCATATATGTGCATATATTTTGAAATTCTGGCCAATTGGTTTCATTCAAATTGTCGTTGGAGCACACTAAGCGCTGTTGTCGTTGTTCTTTCAAAAGTTTGCGTTGGATCATGTCGTCAGTTTCGCCCTGTTTTATATTAAATTTAGCAGCATCCCAATAATCGAATCCTTTTTCTTTTAAATCCTTGATAAAATTCTGTTTCTCTTCCAAAGTTCTCAGTTCATGTTTTAAATCATCGATAGTGTGTTTCAATTTCGTTTCTTCTTCCATAATCTTCAAGTGGCGTTCTAGAGCTTCTGACGGCTCTTTACCCTGGCGGATTCTTGAAATTAACTCTCGACTTTTCTTCTTTTCCTCATCGTATTGTTTTGTTAATGTTGAGAATTTCTTGCACACATCTTCGAACTTCTCCTTGAGATCGGTTTTTGGAATATCCGATTTCGTATTTTTTTGAAATGTTTGCTGCATTTTCTCGATAGACAACAGCCGAAGCCAATGCTCTTCAACCCTTCTTGCAATGCTCGGTGCAATCGGCGCGTATATGATTTTGTGTTGATTTTGATAGGAAATAAATATATTGATAGGATAAAGAATGTAGCTGCAGTGTTGCTCAGTGTCATGACGTTTTTTCATTTTGAGAATTTCTTGATACACATGAAATACTGTTCTCTGATTTTCTAAATTAGATCTGTTCGAATAGACATGCGTAGAAAGAATTCGATCCAGTGCATTTCTATCAATATTCAACTCGTTCTTATTTTTCAAACATTCACATATTTGATTAAGGCTAGCATCGATTGTCTTGGGATCATCAGGCGGTAATTCCATTACAACGACAACGTCAATGCCATAATCTATGGCGCCGATTACATGCGTGGCAGAAGTTGTAGCTATCTCTTGTTTTTGAATACTGTGCTCGCCAAGTGATGTTTTTTTTCGAACAAGATAGGAATAATAGAAGATACGAGTGCATTCATCAATCACAAATGGATAATTGATCACTGAAGTAATACCTGAAGGCAACATTAAATTCGATAAAATACTTAATCGAGATTCAACAGGGCAATCAATGAATCGAAGAATATTTTGATTTTCCAATTTTTCACCACTTATCACTCTACATATCAATGATGGATAGAATTTTTCTGAATTTACGCTTAAATTAAAACTCGATGATGTTAAAATACGATCGTTCCATCCATCATACAAATCTCCAATATTACCTCGAGAACCAATTGCCTTGCGTATAATAATATTCGATGTAGTATCTTTTGTCAATGAAATATTTCTATCAAGCAGTGAGTCACTCGTGTATACAGTCGAAACAATTGATTTCGAAGGGATAGAATTACGACGCGCAGAATTGATTAATTCTTTTATGTCTGGGGTAGCCTGATTTATAAACCATATATACCCTTCGTAATTGATCCAGCTACTTATACACATAATAAACTCTTTTGCGTAGACACGTTGTAGCCATTTATCTGGCAACTTTTTGTAACCATAATGAGCACCTGCTAACTGACCGTAGATAGCTGCTGTCGTATCTGTGTCATCCCCAAGATTAACTGCGCTAAGAACACCGGTTTCGAACGAACCTTTATCACTCCAAAAAGCCCACAACGCCGCCTCGAGAGCACTAACAATATAACCTTTACCTCGAATTCCATCTAGATAGCCACCTGGTCTCTTATATGATCCTTTAGCAATCGCCATAACTTCAGGCTGAAGGGCCCGATCACCGAACCAATCACGATGATTCTCGTAAAATCTATCGCTGAGCAAAGCATCTTTTTGTGCGCCTTGAAGAGCAGCCACAATTAGAGCTCCGTAATAGCAACATGCATCATAGGCTTTCTCATCTCCATGAGTAATTTGACCGCTAATACCTGAATATTCAACCGCCATTTCCGGTCGTCGAAAAAAGAAAAGTGGTACAGGTGCGAGACGCATCAAGGCTCCATTGCCGGCCACACCCACTCTACTACACTGCACGTCGAATGCTCGAAGAAGATCAAGATCTGACACAGAGTCTATGTGCTCTAAAAGAATATCATTATCATGTGCGAATCTTTTTTGGCGCTTTTCAAATTCTTGAATAGAATCTCGAGTAGCTGCACCGATATCAAAGCAATGACCAGTCGATGACATGTAACCATGTCGATACCACCATTTGTAGCGAACTAATTGATCGTAGGGAACAAAACCTCGGCAGCCAATCAGCGAATTGGCTAAACAAATTGCCATTGATGTATCATCGGTGAACTACAGAAAGAAATCGGTACGCACATCATAGCATTGCATTTGCCTACCTGCCCAGGCTGTAGGCCCCATGTTCCTCCTCCTTCTAGATCCTTTACTGGATTGGAAATCATAAAACTGTAAGGTCTGAATTCAACATGAGCACCAAGAGCATCACCAACAGTTAAACCAAACATTGAACCTTGTATACGATCCAATACATCAATCGCTTCATTTGTCCTTGGGGCAAAATCGTGTCGAGTAATACCTAACTCATCCGGCTTTTTAATAGATGTTTGTTCGTCATCATGAAACTGACACTGCAACCACAGTTTGTCTAATACAGTAAAAATACTATTATTTAACAACATCTACTGAATCAGATCGTTCCACTCGAATGATTAAATAAAAAGGACCCTTTTCTCATAGTCTATAAGACATGAAAAAACGCTTACCATTTTTATCGTGAACTGAAGGCGATGTGACTGACATGTATTTCTCTATAAATAAAAGAAAAAGATCTTCTAAATCGAATCCTATTCAATAATTATTAGGTTACGATTGAACTTGTTCACTACTGCAAACATGAATATTGGCCTGACAAGATTAAAAAAATATTCATCAGTTTTATTCTCACATTTAACACATACCAAAAGATGTCTTTTGAAAATTTTCAGCCAAAAAAAAATCATTCATTATTATTATTGATGTATTCGAGACTTCGTATGGTTCAACGAAAGATTGTTCATTATTTTGAAATATCTAATTAAATTCGCAATTCTAATTATTTCTCAAGTCACTATTATCTGAACCGCTACGGAATAAAACACTCCTGACAGACAAGTTATGCTATCTAAACTGACGAATAAATAAACCACAGTGATGTCTGCATACTGAAAACACTTTGTTTTTCTCTTACTCATGAAAATATTTACTAATCAAAATAACGCCGCAGAGAACATAACATTTTATATAAATAGCAGGACTTTTTTCTCTACGAAAAAACCTGTGATAGCAGTTGATATACACTCGTCTCATAACATTAACAGTCGTTATCAGTGAACTTAACTCATTTCCCTCTCTGTATATAATACGTCGATCGAATGGGCTTTTCCCCCCTATTCAATTATCATCACATATAACTCACCAATATCAATAAACAAAAATAAATGATGAAAATTACTAGCACATCATTTTTATTTATGTTGATAATATTTTTCTCGGACGCAATTTTTTCTATCTGTATCCTTGTAAAATAATATGCTCTTACTTTTTTTCTTTCTCCTCTTCCTAATTTTACGTTACCGATCACGTGTACAATTCGATAAGAACAACGGCACATGGTGCAAACGAAAAATATTTTGGCTACAAGGAAGTATTGGATTCGAGTCATTGAAAGAGTCACAGAGTTCGTGATGGCTTCAAACTAAAGCCAACAGCTATGTGCAACTTTTATTGGAATAGAATCTTGAAATTCCATTCCATTCATACCCTATGAGAATTTCAATGGACATGGCGTCAAAATAAACTTAAAACAGTCCAACGCAACACATTAAATTTGATTTTTCTAAACCCCAGAAAAAAATATTAAAAATCTGGTAGGACAAAAATTTACTCGCACTTAGAGCTATAAAGCAGTCTTTTGGGCATTTATTGAATGACGTCAGCGAGCACCATCTATAGTGTTTCGATACTGTTATTTTCGGAGGGAGTGGGGTGTCAAGCGCCACTCTCTTAATTTTCTGATTCCACAGTCTAATTTGATAGAGTACATTTTTTTACATATATTCTTCAATTTTGACGTTGTTTCAATATACCTGACCCGAGTTATAGTCCTCTCAAGACTCACTTTTTGACTAAAAATGTGCCACTGGGTGTATCTAGTTATGAAATGATTTCGGGCATAAAGTAAAAACTAAACAAATGTTTGTATACATGAATTGATAGGGAATTCTTCGCTCTATCTGACACATTCTCAATGAGACTGAAATACAAATCTTTTCATATAATTTGGTAGTGAATACGTAGCTGCAGCCAGTTTCTTTTTGCACTTCAATGGCTTTCTGTTGTGTTTTCATAATTATAATTACGTATAATTATACTTTTAAATAGTTTCCTACATAATATTTGATAGAGTATTTCAAAATCTACAAAATGATGTAAAAATCTTCAGGGAAAAAAGATATTTAGAATTATTTTTTAAGGGCCCACTGTGCTGAAATGTGAAATTCTATACAAAATCTTCTACAATTACTAAACTTCACTATCAGTAACTGCTTTTTATGAAAGATAAACATGATATTTGACATCAGCATAAAAAACTAACTTAGTGAGTATGGGTTTCACAAAAAAAAATTATATATTCTCAAAGAGGGGACTCTGGAGCATCTTTCTACGACAACAGCTCAATTAGGATTTTTTCATAAAATAGAGTTTTTTAAAGGCAGGGGTGGGGTTCCCCCTTAATGGAGTTAGTAAGCAAACATTTTACAAAAATAATTTCCTAGAATTTTCTAAAAGGGAAAAAGTAAATGCAAAAATGCTACCTTCAATCAGCGCTGAAATCCATTCGTCTTCGACTCCAGACAGCACGAGAAAGCTCACTTATTTTAGTTCTTCTTCTTCTCCAAATGCCACATTACAGAATTATTGAAAATTATCATTTTGACTCTATCCATGATATGACAGAAATTAGTAAACATCGTGAATCATATCGACTTATTATTCATATCGTGACAACCTTTATCAGTCATTATTTGAAGAATGATAATTGGCTTTTTGTCGCTTTGATTGAATCATCGATGGTCTTGAATTTTACATACTATTACATTTTTTTCTTTTCGTCAGGTCCTAAACCTTTTGAGTAATATAGATTGGTGTGATCGTCATTGGAATGACAATTACAGTCGTAATAGTATTTAGAAACTGTACTTGTGTTGATATAGAATCAACGATATATACACTAGTATCTATCGAGATGTATTCAAGTTAGATTCGAAATAGGGATTTTCAAAAATAGTTGCATTCTTTTAGAGACGTTTATTTCTTCAAATGGGAGTATGAATAAATTGTGAAGTTTCAAAAAAGAAATCAAGAATATTATGGATAGCTTCTTACTGAGATAGAGTTTTATCGAGGTGGTGCAATCAAATACATTATAAGAAAAATAGGCAACCCTCACGTTTCGTCTATTTTCAATCAATACAGTATTACTAAAACAGTCAGAAGCAAGAATAGATGGCAACTGCGTCGCAAGCTACTACCCAGCGGCCCTCCTCAAGCATAAAATTGCCGTGTGCAACGTGTGCAAAACCAATCGGCATTGTACGATGTGAAGGATGCCTGAAACTATTCTGTCGCACTGATTTAAATGAGCACCGAAACCAACTAAGCAAACAATTAGAAGAAATCACGGTTGAACATGATCTGTTTCAACAAACACTGAATCAATCAACAGCCGATCCACGTTCTCATGCGCTCATAAGTCGAATTAATGCTTGGGAAAAAGAATCGAAAAACAAGATTAAACAGGCAGCAGAAGAAGCTCGTTGTCTGATTGAAAATCAGGCAATAATGAATACAAAACAGATTTCGACCCGTTTTCGTGAGATGACTGATCGATTAAAGAAGGAACAAAAGGAAGACACATACGATGAACGAGATTTAAAAAGATGGAAAGAGCAACTCGAGCAGCTCAAGGAGAATTTTTTATCGCCATCTTCCGTTGTTATAGAAGAGGCGCCAGAAAACTTTATTGCAAAAATCCTAGTGAAAGATTTGGAGACTCTTGGGAAAAAATTTGAGCAAGCTGTTGGTCACCCAGGGATAAATGAAGAAGGTTTGGCTTTTCAAAACAAATACTAATAACAACAAACAGGATTCCTTCGAATGCACAAGTTCGATGCAAAGGAGAATATTCTGGTGGTATACACAATATCCGGCTGAAAGTCGAGCAATATGCTAATGGTCTCATGTTTTTCGGTGTCAACTCGAAATCGACACCACTAAATGTTAATAATCTTACTGCGGCGTCGTCATATGGATGGACAGCTGGGCCGACCAATATAGTATATAAAAGTGGACAAGCTTTAGTTAACAATAATGACTACGTCAGTGATTTTCAAACTAATGACATAGTTGAGCTTGAGTTGGACTGTTATCGTCGACATATTCATATGCGAAATCATCGTTCGAATAAACAATATGAATTGCAAATCGAACTTGAGAAATGTCCATTTCCGTGGATGTTTCATTTTGGCTTTTCGACGAATGGTGATCGACTTCGCATCGTCGAATAATCTGCGAAAAAAATCCGATTACTTTCTACGGAAGTTTTCTTCTACAAGTGATTTGACAAATGGATTGTGCGTGAATATATTTTTGTAGGTGTGAATGCCTCTTCGTCAACTCTCACTTTACCTTTAAATCTCAATCTAACTATTTTCAAAAATATTCAACCAATAAAGAAACTTCACGATTGCCTCCTTGTTCGATTTGGATAGTTCTTAAACCGAGTCCTATGAAGAATTTATCTTGATATTACGAGTAGATTCCATGTGTTTTTCACACAACTGTTACAATTAGATTTTACTCTTCATTATCTCACACCTGTATCAGAATGGCTGCACGGCGACATAGATATACTTTTGACTTTAAAATATGATGATATTCCATGGTAAACTAACAACAAGAGTTGATTTAAAACTACAACGCAATATATTATGCTAATCATTGTAGAAGTAAATATTTATTGATGTCTATTTGTATACAATGATTTTATTGAATATAAAACAATAACAATAAAATTTGATGAATCATGTTCAAATAAATATCTGATGCATAGGATATGACAATTTACTAGTAACTATTATCGTTAAATGAGAATTGGTTTTATATATTTTTATTCTGTACGAAAAACCTTATTCGGTATTAATGCATTTATTCTCCCTATATGTAGTCATCAATTTTGTCCTAAAAACATTTAAAAAATCATGAAATTAACTAGAACAAAGCAGCTACAAAATTTCCATAACCTTGATATCTAAAAATTCAACTATTATCAAAAACAATATCACTGCTCGCCATCTTGAATGATTGCAAATGCCTGAAATATATTCCTATGATATCAATAATAAAAATAGTTATTCAAATAAAATCTACTCAATCAAACATCATAAAAGTCTCAGTTTATTTGGAATTGTTTGTCAATCAAGAGCATCAGTCGGCCCTTCCACTTCATCTTTGACCAATATGATGATGATGATAGTTCGTATAGATAGATTCGAACACGTGTCCTTTCTCTTTCGTACAAGATTCATTTGATAGTACCAAATCCGTTCAACTAAATTTTCCTACTGATTATACTTACGGAGTGAACTCTATATATCCTATTTAGCAAATGCAAGTATGCTAAAAACAAAAAAGCCGAAGGACACTCCTTTGTCCATCCGAAATGATTTCATCATTCGCGACTAAAATCATCATAAAAATAAATCATGTAGAGAATTATACAAATAAATTTTGAAGAGAAAAAGAATGAAATAAACAAACACAAATAACAGTTGATGAGACAGACGAGATTTCGTGTATATCGTCGACATTTGTATGGTTTGTAAAGAAACAAAACAAAAAACAATCATTGTCTTCTAAGGAAAACACATAGACATAGATAATACGTAATCATTTTTCGTTGTTCTCTGTACATATAACATTAGAACAAGACGAAGAGAAGAATAAATCAATCATGCCTATAAATAATGATAAAAAAAAGAAAAAGAAAAAAAAATGTTCTTCTATTCCATTGATGACTTACAAAACATCATGGCCTTTTTTTTCAAAATAAAAACAAAGCGTCTTTTCTTTCTATGCTTGTGCTTACCTTAAGACGAGGGTGCATTTGATGAACTGCTGCCATTGGTAGTATTTGCTGCCGTTGGACCGACACCATTTGCACCACCATTCCATTGTTGTGCATAAGCTGCCCACGGATTACTAGCTGACATCATCATTGCAGCGGCGGCAGCAGCTTGTGCTGCAGCCGTTGAACTGCTGCTATTGGATCCCGTTGCTGAGCTTGAACCGGACTAAAAATAGTAGCATTAGTATTAAGAATAAGTAGAAGCTAATAGATTTTTAGAGAGAAATTTGATGAGCGATCGAATCTAGCAGGCAACCTGAAGTAATTTAATTACCTCTTTCATTTGTTGCATAATTTGATCGGCAATGTCATTCTGTCCGACTGATCGATAATATTCGATCCATTGTTGACTATAGTCCGGTTGTCCAGTAGTTGCGTTGACTGCTAGAATAAATTCTTGGCTTTAAAGCAAAATAGTGAAATTAAAAAATATATATACCAGCTGTTGTTGAACTTGTAGCTGTTGAATCTGTGGCTTTTGCTGTACTTGTTGCTGCAGCTGACGATGTCGTTCCGGTCATACTTGCTTGCATCATATTATAATAATTCATCGATTGATAATAAGCTACCCAAGCTGGATCCATCTGTGACATAGCCGATGCATCTGTACTAGACGAGGAATTATTATTTGATGTACTATTCTCATAAGGATTCACTATTTAAAGAAAAATGTTTATTTTTTTGTTTGATAAAATCACTTTCAGTTGTTCTTACTTGCAGGCCATTGTCCATAAGCACTAGCCCATTGACTGTAAGGATCGCTTGCAGCTGCTCCGTTAGTATCATTTGCATAAGGGTCATTGTTTCCACTCCATGAATCAGCTACACTAGATCCAAGTAATGGTAAATTGAATTGCTGCTGAAATTGTGACGGCGTTAGCATATCACCAGGGCCACCCGGACTATTAATAATTTTTTCATACATTAATTGTTGTGCTTGAACAATTTGTTCTGGTGTACCACGTAATTTAAATAATCTATCTGATGAATTTCCAATAGCAGGTGTATAAGCTTTATCGAGTTCAACAAAAGCACCTGATTTTCGATTTATTTCTTTGATACTTTCACCACCTATAAATTCAATATGAAAATGAATTTTCAAAAATAAAATAAAACACATAACTTTATACAAACCTTTGCCAATGATGATTCCAGCTTTATCATGAGGTGCATGATAAGTAGCTTCATTACATGGACCACTCATTGGTGTACCACCAGTCTAAAACACAACAACAAAAAAAAACATTTATCTCTCTCTCTCGTTCTACGCATCTTAAATCGAAGAGAAATTCTTACTCGTGAACCATAGTCATTAAATGATGTTGTATTAGATGAATTCGAATTGAAACGATTTGGCATCGGTATACCACCAGATTTAGCTAGCGAATCTAGTATATATTGTTTTGCGCGCTGAAATAGAAAAGCATTACTTATGCTAGCAATCATGTATTTTCTCTCTTAGTAACTTACTTCGACTTTATCAGCTTCTCCAGTCATTTTTAATGGTTTATGCTCAATACCATCGATTTCGGTTGTGTCCTGAGCGACGTACATTTTCACGCCAAATTCTTCTGACACACGTTTTATATTTTCTCCACCTTTTCCAATAACTAATCCACATTTAGCCGATGGCAACATAACATCAATGGATTTAATATTTGTTCCACCCATTGAATATGGATTAATACCCATTGGACCACCTTCAGCCATTTTTCCTTTTGCTATTATATCATCCATAATGCGTTTGGCACGTTCAATAGCCTCTCTTGAACCAGATAGATTAGCTAAACGATCAGGTGGATTCGGGCCACCGGGCACAGGATCAGGTCGTGTTTGACATATTTGAACTTTACAGCTACTTTCGGCTTGAAGTCGAATAATTTGTTCACCTCCTTTACCGATAATTAGGCCGACAAATTTATCTGGAATTTTATAATCTTCTTGAAATGTTGATTGGTTGGATAATGGAAATGACGATAGATCGGCTGGCGATGATTTAACACCTAGTTGAGAATTTATTTGTTGGGCAACGAGTTGAGCACGTAGAACAGGTGGCGGAATATCGTTTGACTGTGTTGGTGAAGTAAATGCTGGACGTTTATTAGAAAAATCATCATCATTATTCGGTCGTTTTAATGATGAAGTTGCAGGTGCATTCGGTGCTGCTGCTGTTATCTTTTGTGCTACTTGTCGAGCACGTGCAAGAGCATCTTGAAAAGCCGACGTATTATTTATCATCGTTTTAAACGATTTTCTTTTGTCTCGATCACTGATGGATACAAATCTTCGTTGTGTGATTGTATTAGAGCAGCCATTAACCTGACTTTTATTCGATTTGTCGTTTCAATGCATAGATGTATAGAAAAGAAAAGAAAAATAATCACTTTTATGTTATAGAGGATTGTTACCATGGCGCCAGGACGAATCAATGGAGAAAGAAAAGAACAGCAAGAGTAGACACATTTCAATTGAGATGTAATAAGGAGAAAACAAAAAATGAGTGGTGAAGATATAGTTCGCGAACAATTTTCCGCCTTACAAAAACAACAAAAAGAACGATTGAATCAATTAAAAGAAAAATCGATTAAGAAAAAACCATCTACAGTTGATGTTAGTTTAAATTATTGAACTAGAGTGATCAATGGATTATGTTTTTTTCTTTGTAAAAATATTTAGGCTAGTGTTTCAATGAATTTTGAAGTGGACTCTGGTCCATTTCCAATTGAAGAGGTACGTATGTTCAAATTATTCAGATTTTCAATGATTTTCATTTCTTCAGAATAATAATCTCATCGCGTCGGTTATTGCTAGTCAACAAGAAAGTTTAAATGAACAAATTCGAGTAAGACGTTTGTTTTTATTTTTAGACGTTTAATATCTATTTATCGTAGGAACTGCGTGATGAAAATGGTCGTCTTCGAAAATTGTTAGCTGAAAAAGATTATGAAGTCGGTTATTTACGTCGTATTCAAGAAGAAGAACGCCAAGCATTTATAGGTAAAGTAAGTGCCTATGGTTATTCTTTGATTTAATCTCGAAAACCTTGCACTATTTCAGGCACGAATACAGTGGGTGGTGATGCAATAGCAACGAAAGTTGTTGAATTATCGAAGAAAAATCGTGAATTATCTTCTGAGTTAGAAAGTGAACGAGCAAAGTTAAAAAAGTTATCCATCAAATGTAAAGAACTCGAATCAACAGTAAACAAAAAAATATATTTATGAATTTTATTTAGTGAATACATTTTTTTTCTATTAGAATAACAAAACACAAGGTGATATACAACGAACTTCAGTCGTTGTTGATGAAGTGAGTTGAAAATTAAGTTTTGAAAAAATAAGGTTTTATTTTCTGCTCGTAGAATAAAGCAGAAAAAGAACTGAAAGAATTGCGTGATAAAGTTAAAGACTTACAAGCACGCCACACAGAAGCCAAGTCTCAACTCGATATTACAAAACAAGAATTGAAAAAAACACAGAAGGTAACGAAAATAAAATCTTAATCAACGAGTCTACTTTATATTGGATCCGTAATAAGTAATAGAATGAGTCTTTTGAATTTTTTACTGTGAAATAGAAACTCGAGTCATTTTTCTGAGCTGTATTGTACCGTCAATCTCATCAGTTTTATCTTCTCAACTAGATCCTATGGAGACTAGCAGAAGTTAAATACAGTTCAAGCTCATGAGTCTTATCCGAGCTATCTTTAATCTCAACCTTTTTTTTTAAGACTAATTTAAGGCAGTGGAGCTCAAGTCTCCTCTAAGTCTTCGACAAATGATCATAAGTAAAACCGGATCTCATTTTTTTTTTGCCAATAGGCTTTGGAAAAAGAAGTTGGTGATAGTGTAAATATTCAAGCTATATTAAATGGTACAGTTAATTGGCGTGGTCGTCAACAGCAAATCCTTGCTTTACAAGATAAAGTAATTTTTCTCAGCTGAAATAAATTTTTTCCACGAAAACAAAATCCTACTGAATTTAGGTTAATGAATTAAAAGCACGAGCAAACATGATGTCTACGAATGGTTTCAATGAGGATTGGGATGGCAATTCTTTAGGTTCCAAATATGATGACACGATGTCTGTTGCTCAACAACGTCATCGCGATGATATACGTCGTATTGAACGCGATCGGAAAGATTTATTTGAGCAACAAAAACAAGAAATGCAATCGATACGCAATGAGCAACAAGCATTGAAAGATAAATTAGAACAATCGAAAACTCGTAATACGATTCTATCGAATGAAGTTAAAACATTACGTGAACAACTGAGAGCATCATTAGATAAAAGCAAACACGACGATGAACTTGTTGCAGTTCTGCTTAAACAACAACAACAAATGAAAGTATCAAATGAACAATTACAAAAAGATTTAGATATGAAAAGTAAAATGAATACAGAATTAGAACAAACACAGAAATTAGATCAAATGAAACAAACAAATATGATTAAACAATTGCAACTTGTGCTTGACCAAAAAGAAACAAAGCTTAGAGAACTTGAAATGCACTTGGACGAAAATAGAATTGATGTAAGACATGAAGATACTTTTTTTTGTGCGAATATTAAAGTAATTATTTATTTCAATGGCATTTGGTTATCACTCTTGAGATAGGGCTCGTTGGATAAGCTTCGATACCACAAATAGACATGCCATTCTCTGCGTTAGATAAAGCCGGAAAGTCATTTTCTTGAAGAAAATGAGTTTTATCCAAGTAGAATTTGTGGAAAATTATCGACGAACGAGTAAAAAAGTATGTTTTGATATTGCATCAAAATTTTTTCTTATTGTTTTCACTTTCATCGACATAAGATAAACAAGAATAGCAAAGAATTCCTTCCCATGAAAACTTTCACTTTCAATTTTTCGTCTGATTTCTGTCCGGGGTCAGATCCATTCTAAAATAGATCACTACAAGCTCGCGGTCCTTCGCTACATTCGCCAAATAAAACCAACATCAGATTTTTCAGTAAAAAATCTTGTATTTCTACTTCAGTATGAAAAAGACGACACGGAAATACCTTCAACATTAGTTAAACCCGACGAATCTCTCACATTCGTCAACATAACAAGTCGGCATACGCCAGTGCAAAATGTTACTCTAGCGCCCATGCAATTAACTGCTTTAAAACATTCAACAACAGATCCAGTTCTTAATCGTCTTGAAAAGAACGGTTTTACAAATACATCCAGCAGTCGACCACCAAGTGCCGCCAATGCCAAACGAACTTCTGTAAGACATGGAAAAAGAATCGTCGATAGTGTTTTCATTTTATTTTTGTTTTTCAGGAGGATAACGATCTCAAATGTATAAATTCTGCTCTCGAAGTTGAACGAAATCGTCTTGTTGATTTTATTCAAACATTACAAAAACGCCTTGATAATGCAAATTCACAAATTGTCGATCGAGAAAATAAACTCATCGAGCAACGTAAAGTAAATGTTCGCCTAGAAAAAGACATGGACAAAGTCAAACTCGATTTAAATAACGTAAAAAATCGAACAGGTAAATAAAATTTTCTTTTACAATTGAAAAATCTAAAGAAAAAAAAACTCACTTTCTTTTTTCGTAGTGAAAGGACGTGGAACCGCTCCTTCATTACCCAAATCAGTATCGATGATGTCGGACAGTCGTGAAACAATCGAGGAACTCGAAATGCGTTTAACTCTTAAAGCCGAAGAAAATGATGCGCTCAAAAACGCAATGAAATCAATGTTAGACGCCAAAGAAGAAGATTTAAAATTATATAATGAAACCATACAATCAGTTAAAGATATTTTTCTACAAGGAATTCAACATTATAAACCATTACAAACAACAAGAGGATCAACATAGATCGATTTTCTAATCGTGTTTGTTTTGTTCGTACTTTGTACGATGTTTTCCTTTTTTTTTGTGAACAGATATAAATGTGTGTGTGTTAAGACAGTTTTAAACGAACAAAAACAAGTTGGGTTTGCTTATGCTAATGAAGAGAAAGTTAGCATGATAAATATGATTTTTCTTAATTGTATCTAAAAGGAAATCATTAGCTGCAGAGAACATGACATATATATATATATATTAGGTCCCATGGGAAATCGTTAAAACATTTCATGCTTGGCACTTTTCTACGCTTGATATACACTTTAAAGTCTACATATTGTTTGAATAAATGAAATGTTTCGCGTCAAAGTTGACATATCATTTGCCAGGAAAAAGATAGTACTGGTCTGGAATTTATCTATACTTATATCAGCTCGTATTTATGTTGTTTACTTTTATTTGTTTCGTAATAGAATGCACCACTGGATTATATCACAAAATGTATTTTTCGCTAAAGACAGCATGCATTTTCGACCCACGATCTGTTTTTAACCCTTCGGAATTGATTAGTTGTCCTGTGTAAGCTGAATGTCTATAGGGTAGTATTTAGACATTTGAAGTTAATGATATTTCTGTTCTAAAACTTGCCGAGTGCTCTTCAAGAAAAATGTACTGTTAACTTACTGAAAATTACCGCGTAAAACAAAAGTACTAGGAACGCGTGTTGGTCAAATTCGAAATTATCGTTTTTTTCTTTTCTATATTTTGGGTGTAGATTTTTCAAGTGTACCAATCAGGTGTGCTGTTTGGTAGGAAAACATGTTTTCATAGTAACAACAAATGACAAATTCTTACAAAGCATAGCGGGTTATTCTCAGCAATGTGCTAGGTGGATCATACCAATGATCTTATCAATATATTGGCCGTTTGTTTTTCTGGCCACCATTTACTTAGAACTCTGCTTTTCTTATCAATGTCAAACTTCTCGCTTGTTTTTGTTTATTCAGCGGAATTACATAATTATAAATAGCGCTGGTTTGCTTCTCGTCATTGTAGGATACAAATTAGTATTTTATCATCTCGCTCGTTATAAAACAGATATTCAAGCCTTGTTTTCGCTAAGATAAATAAGTATTATTATGCATGTCTCTGTTCGATATGATAGAGTATTTTATAATGCTACGCAGTTAACAATGAATTGGTGAAAATGTCAATATTATAAATAGAAATATAACCTTCATACGGATGGATTATAACGTATTTCAAGTAGTATTATACGGTTCGAGTGCGTTGTACAAGGCAAAATGTTTACAAATTATTTTTAGGACATCAACGATGCCTTTTTTTTATCAATCGAAAATGTCACAGAATAGAGAAAAAGAAAAAAACTAATGAAGTTAGATAAATACAAAAAAAACACATGATATTAACTGTGTGAGATACAAATGTCTCTTATACTATCCGTGCAATTCAGGCTAATCAGTTATATCAAGACAACCTTGTTCTCTCAAGTTAAAGAAGTTTTATTATCTATGTCAATCAATTCTTACTGTTAGCACTGCAACTCGAGAACGAAAGAGGGTTATTAGTCGATGAAAATATCATTATATAGTCCTTTAATACGGCTAGTCACGCTATGAATTTGATCGAGTTTGATTAAAACGTGCATATTATTCATAATAATAAGTTGAACAGGCCCTAGTCTTCCTCTTGCCTTCAATTCAAGTGTGCTCAAGACCGAAGTAGTCCTCGTTGTTGGTTTAAAATATTTTTGAGTTACTACATATGCTAAGAGTTTCATATCTCTAGCGTTAACAATAAATATGGCCACAAGAGGATATTTCCGATAACTAGTTCTAGCTCAGAAGCGTATTCATTGGCAAATCCCTTGTGAAAAAAATTGACGCATCCTATATCACATAGAAATAAGACCGTCAAGCTAATATGCAACAGCAAAGTAAAGAAATAGAGTTTTTTTTCTTCTATCTTCCAGTTATGTATAAGCCCTTCTCAGGATATTATTATTCTAGACGAGAACATCTAAAATGATCTACAATCAATTTACTAAACGAACGAATAAACAACACTCGTATGAAACAATAATAATAACAAAACAGTAGACACGGATGTTCTGAATTAGAGATAAATCAAGGCATTTCGATGGTATAGAAAATAAATTTCATTTTGTTTTCATTGCCTCAACTAATATAGAAATATCCTTTTTTATCGACTGATTTCAAAGTCATAAGTACACTAAAACAATATATAAATCAAGTATCCGAAACGTCGATTCGCAAGATCAAAAAGCTAACAAGGCCGGTTTCTTGTTTTGATAGAAAATTTTAATATTATTTAAATAGACCTTTGATAACGGCGAATCTGTTAAGACAATAAATAAATACTCCTTTTCAAATCGATCACATGAGATTTGAGCAATGCATAAAGCAAAAACTAGTGAATTTGTTTTTGTTTTGAAATATTAGGCAAGAGCGTCACTGACAATTTACAAAAAACTAGCGATGTAAATATTTTCATACTGTTTTGTTCTGTTCTATTTAGAAATTTTCGAATTCCGATGGATAAAGTTCAGTCGCAGTATTCAACAATGGTTTTTCGTCGTATTTTTCAAAATGGTCCCTGTCGGCTTTAGGTACGTGCATTGGTTTAACGCGTTTTTCAAATATAGCAATCCAATTCGCTGTTGCAAACCATTTCTGATATTTAATGTCTTTTGTGCCATTTTTTAAATTTCCATAACGCTTTGTTAAATCTGTTTGAAGTAAATTACGAATTAAATCTTTGAGGTCAGCTGAAAAATGAGATGGAAATTTAAATTTTCCTTGTACAATTTTTTCGTAAATTTGTATTGGTTGATCAGCATAGAATGGAGGAAAACCCTTTTATAGAAACAGAAGAAAAAATAATAGAAAAGAAAAAGAACAGCATAAATTGTTAGATATCTTACAGCAGCCATTTCATAAATTAATACACCCAATGCCCAATAATCAACACTCTTATTGTAACCACGTGATAAAATAATCTCCGGAGCGATATACTAAAAAGAAAAGAACTGATTTAAAAATGATTATACCTTTTTTTGAGTTCAATGTCTCTACCAACAGCAAATGAAATTTTTATGATCTCGGCTTTTTTTTCTCGTGCAGGAAACTTCAGACGTTTGCAGAGCTTTAAAAACTAAATCAGCTTATAATCAATTATAGCTAATGATCATATCGTTCTGGAAACAACAGAAAAAGAAAAAGTTTTCAATCTCATTAAAATGCGTCATTCTTGATAACTATCAATGCACTCATGGGGATAACAACTTTTCAGAAGAAATTAGAAGATTATAATCATGATGTGAGATTAATACTACTGACAGTTATATTTACCTCCGGCGTACCACATAATGTGTACGTTCGATCTCGAACGACTTTAGCAAAACCGAAATCAGTTATTTTTAAATATCCATCAGCAGCGAAAAGTATATTTTCTGGTTTTAAATCTCTATAAAGTATGTCTAAATAAACGAGAGAAACAATCAAAAAAAAATAAAATGTTTAAAAAAACAAAACTAACTTAAATAATGTAAATATTCGAACGCTAATGTTACTTGAGCGGCATAAAAGCGTGCTTGATCTTCTGGATATTTGCCTACACTTCTACTCATACATAATAAATCAATAAGAATAGCAAATATCATTGAAAATCTTTTACCGTAGATGTGTAAACATTTCACCGCCACTGGCAAATTCTAATGCAATATAAAGATGTGAATTATCTTTGAATGAATAAACTAAATTAACGAGAAATGGAAATTTGATAGCTTGCAAAATTCTCTTTTCGGATACAGTATGTTCAACTTGTTTTAATTTAACGATTGTTTGTTTTTCCATTACTTTTAATGCTAATGCTTGATTACCCCGTTGTACAATCATAACACGACCAAACGAGCCGGTACCGACAGTACGCTGTAATTTAAAGTCTTCTAATTTTGCTGTTTGTTTCGGTGGTTGTGTATATTTCGATTCGAATTCTTCTTTAGCGCGTTCGAGAAAAGCGCTAACTTGAGCGTCAATTTGTGCTTGGCTAGGAGTCACCGTTAGATTTGTTGCCGTAGATGATGCCGAATTATTGCCCATAGTGGTTGTTATATATATATATATATATTTATATGTCTTTGCGTATTATTTCTATTGGAGAAATAAAAAAGACTTAGTCACCTCGAATTCCTTTCACTACTAAAGCTAAAATTCGGACTGTAAAAACACCAGAATGATAGCGTGCTTATGTTGTGTCTCAAGTTTGATTGTTGCGACAATCAGTCTTAGCAAAAAATAAACTGTCTATCATACATAAGAAAAATACTTGCAAGGTCAACACCATTTCCCTAATTGTCATATTACTGTGGTATTCGTGTAGGATAAAAAGATAAATATAGTTTTTTTTCTATGCACTAAATGCAGATTGTCTCATAATGCTCTGTCCCTTTGCCTGTCGCCTGTCTATTTATCTATATTGAGTTTTTTGCTGTGTTGTTTTGTTCTTTCATGTTCTTATACATCGAAACGCCTTGGATAAGATTCTATCGCCCATTAATATATTGCTCTAGTCGAGCCATAATCTTTTTTTTGCATCAACTATTTCTTTCTATCTTCTTCTTTTTCTCTCTTCATATTCCTGTCGTTTAATCGATAACATATTGTCATCATTGAAACTCATCGCCTTGTCAAAGACTTGTATTTGTGCACAAACGAACGAATATTATATATATATATATATTTATATAGTAGATCTCATTTTAATCATTTCGCTTCTCTCCGTATCTTATTAGCTCGATAGATTATCAATAAAAAATAGACTGATAACATGATAATAAATTATGACGGAAACATAGTTCGCATAGGAATAAGTAGGCTTCTGAAAAGAGCAAAATTTGACAATAGACATACCAACTAGACTAAAACGATCATATTGACAACATGTGTTTACCTCGATAATAAACCAGAGAACAACAATGGTATGGCTTACTAAGTATTTAGCTTTCTTGTTTCAACTAAGACCCACGGAAAAATAGTCGTATACTTGAAATCAATTGAACATATATACGTTATTGATAAGATTAGAATGTTAAGGAGGGAGAGAGAGAGAAAGAAAGAGAGAGAAAGAAAATAAAAAGAATATTTCCTTTTTCTTGTTCATTCATTTTTTTAGGAAAAAACTCATTGAGTTAAGTTTCTCTTTTTCTTTCTCGTTCGTCTTCCGGCTGCTGCTCTCTTCTTCACGTACTCCCAATGTTCCTCTCTTGCTTCTTTGTTTTCTACCAGTAACCGTTTTCTTTTCTGGCTATGGTAACTGTCTGACAATCCTTATTGTGATTAATTCTAAGGAAAACAAACATTCTTCTATTATTGTCAAACTATTTATTGTTAGCAACAAAGACAATAATAAGTATTGGATTCATAGTGAATTAGCAAAAGAAAAATCACCAAAGAGAAAAAAAAGCCCATCAATAACGGGAAATTCTACGTAATGACAATGACGAAATAGGATATTGATAATGATGAATGATTAGAAAATCAATATGATATATCTGATATATTTTTGCCAGCTAGTTTTCTACAAACCTGACCAAAAAAAAAAAGATTGATCGAAAAGGATTCTAATCCTCTCGATGCTAATTATGTGCTAAAAACAAGAAGAAAAAGCTAACATCGATTTTATTCAGTTAAATGGCAGCATAAACAGGAAAGCACGCTCTAGAGTAGAGGATTCTTCCTGCCAAATTATATTTGTGATTTTCTATTTTTAGCTATCCTTTCGGATAAATTAAAGTAAGACGTTGTTCACCGTTGCAGAGCTAAATATCACGTACACGCATTGTTCAAATGTTTTAATAACAAATAAGAACACATTAATATATGCTTATTTGCAACAAAAAAGAATCTAGTCAAGTCTCATTTCCTTTTTGATCTTCCTACCACCTATAGCAAATAGTTTTAAATTTCGCTAAATTGTTGAATTTATAATAGTAGGAATAGAATCATTTTGCTTTGAATATGTATAAGATAAATTCTTTTATTTTTATTAATACTTTAAAAACACTACATCAAATACAAAAAAATTGTCGACGGTTAAGCTAATATTGGCTCATAGATTTCTTTCTCTCGTGTGCGTCTAAAGATATATATATATTAGAACAGAGAACAAAAAAAACTTCAGTATTTTTTTTATTACCTAAAATTGTTTGTCGTTCATTAATAAAATCATCCAGCGAATGACGTCTACAATAAGAATAGAAATAGTTCTTTCATTTGACATAAATATCAACATCTACCTGTTTCTTAATTGACAGTGGGAGCAAATGTTAAATTTCAAAAAACATCCAATGAATCCCATTAGAATAATAAGAGCAAAAGCGACTATTGTTTGCAAACCTTTTGAACTAACTACAACGCAAAATAAAAAACGCTATTCAGAAAAAAGAAATCTATTTTTAAATAATAATAATTTACATGAATCACATTTTTTGCCACGATATAGAAAATTACATCGGCATTTATATTCCATACCAATACTCATACATTCACCGCGACCACTACATAGATTTTTTCCGTAACAATAATTTTGAACTAAAAATAATTATCGGTTTTATTCAAATCAACTTTTTCCACACGATAGATTTTTTATTGAAGAATTAGCGTATAATTGAATTCTTTTTGCAAAGATAATTGCAGATCTCATCGAGCAGTACGGACCGATCGAACTTCGAAACTTCGATTGAAGCTTGTGTTAGATCTATACATCGACTATTGGAAATTAATTTTCCGACAAGCTTCCGGTAGAGATCTTACAGTAAGGCAAAAAACTCACTTTCAAAAATTCATCGGACCAAATTCCATTGAACTTTTACTATTCTTGCTTGGCCGCTCGTGTAGAACGTACAAGAGCTCGAACGATAAAAAATATTTAGCCTGTCTGCCGCATTAGCACTTATTTTTTCATTCCGGAAATTAGTCTTTCTACAGTAGAGATTATCATCGACCTCCTACAATAAGTATTGCTCAGTTTTTTTTTATTACTAATCTATCAAATCCATTTGTGATTACTGACTCAATTTTCTCCATACATCACTGCTGAACGACAGTCGAATGGCATATCTAAAAACTTGATAAATTCCTTGTGACGAACATCCTATTTTCACTACACAGTGAGCTTAGATTAAATTAAGTATCGGATAAAAGAAAACCAATTATGAGTACATCCTGCTTCATAAAACACTCTTTCGTCGCGTTCTCATTGTTGGTATCGATGGGTTTTCAAGTGCAAAACATTTTTCATTGGACATTCACTCGTCTAATCTAATGACCACTTTTACCTTGTCTACAGTTTACGTGTTGTTCTCTTCTGTTTCTATCAATCGCGTCAACAATTCATTGGAGTGTCTCTTTAAAAGAAACAGTAAATATCAACTAACGAGAAGTATCAGACTGGAAATTTTTTCTCTCATGTAAATACATTACATCATCCAACCGTAAAGATTCACTCCTCATTAATAAAAACGATTCTTAAGCTAATTGAAATATTCTTCTGGTACGATTTTCATTCTTATAGAGACTCAACAAAAAAACACAAGAGAACAGCTTGACATAACAAAAACTCTAGCTAACGGCAATTAATATTTCTTACCATATTTACAAACATATCGTGCGTCATCGGTTTCACAATTTCTTCCTTCAAAGGCAACTTCAATTTTACTCACAATATTAATTAATCCACAATGCGATGTCTCTCGTCTATATTCATGATATAAATGTCCAAATGTATCATCGTAAAATGTTCGTCCGTCGAGCCAATACCATTTACTTTCGTTAGTAGAATATAATAAGCCAACAAATGCTTGCTTAACATCGGACGGTTTTAGTAATGTATTCACGACGAAATCAAATTCGTATTTAGTTGTAAATGCAACTAAAGACGAATTACGTATTTTCGAACAACTTCTGGATGCCGATTTCCATGTTGATGTCATTGGTGATAAATAGTAACACGAACCATTATAAAAATGAAAGCCAGGTAAACAAGCTAAATAACAGAATCAAAACGGCAACAAAAAAAGTTCAATATTTCAACGCAAAAACAAAATACGAACGTCGAACGGTTGTGTTATAGTAATGCTTTTGAATAGCTTGTAGAACATCTCGAAATTCTGACGCTAGAGAAAATAATGAATACAATAGGTTTTTCTATTTGAAATAAAGCGCCAAGCAAACCTAAATTTATTTTCGACCGAACATCGTGCGCAGTTTTATTTCTTAGTGCGCCCATTAAATCGACTATTTGATTACTGAAAACGGTTTGACTTTTTAATAAAAAAATGATCGGAATCCATAAACACAATGATGTAATACGCCGTTGGATTTTACTTATCATCGCGGTTGCACAGTTTATCCTAAAATGAGTTTTTCGTTTATCACTTGTGATCGAATGAACTCATTTGTTCCCTCCCCGTAAAGAGAAAGCAAAGTAGAAAAAGAAAAATAAGAGCGAGCAATCAAGCATGTCGTGTCCATCATTAGAAACATAAAATGAAAAAAGAAAAGAAAAGAACAATGTTCGTATGCAGATGTGCTCAATCAAGATGCATCATTTGATGTTTTTCGTTAAAAGGTCATTGCGAGATGACCATTGACTATCTTCGCGTAAGAATAATGATCAAGGTAATAAAAACGAGGACATGCATGTGAACAATTAATCAAGGATTGAACAAATGAAGAATATACAATTGTGCATGTAACTATATAGCCACTGATCCTAGGCAATTCTTTTTCGTTTTGATACATCATTCGCATTTAATTGTTGCATAAGTGCGTCGGCCGTTTTGAAATCTGATCGATCTACTTCATAAAGATGAACTGATTGAGTCTTACATTTCAATATTTTCGTGTCTGTCTCTCTCTCTCGTTTTTTATTTATATAATACAATACTAAATAAGCAAGCAAAACAACAAAAAAAAAAAAAGAAATTCACCGGTATTATCACAAGCACAAAAAAAAAGCAAATTGTCTTTTTTGATTAATATTTTCTTGGTAAAGTTTGTGAGAGACCAATTTTATCGAATAAACGTTCTAATGTTTTCGATTGTATTGTTTGCGTAGTAGATAATCGATGTTTTCTATAGCGCTTCAATTGTTCATTATGAATTAATGTATAAGCTAATAGCCAACGAAAACGGGTTAGCTGTGATAATTTTTCATTTTCATATCTATGCTCTTGCTGTTCCTTGGTTAGTTTTAATTTTAATTTTCTTATATCAATAAGACGTTGTCGTATGATGTCAATGAATACATTCAATACTGGATGTCGTTGAATTCGTTCAATATGAAAAAAACTAACATATGATGCATATGATGAGTCATACATTTCTAATCCTCGTCCATAGGCTGAATAATCCAGGCGCGCAAAAAATATTGACGTACATAAAAATCCTTTTGATATACGCGATAAACACATTATAAAACCAAGAAAACAATCGAAGAAAAAGCTGAAATATGAAAATGTATAATAAAGCCGAAGATTGCGTAATGCAAGCAAATGATTATTTTGCGTAAATAATAATTTACATAAAAGACGTACGAATAACAATTGAAATAAAAAGAATATTATCATTGGTAATAATAATTTTGAAATAAACTCCAATACTATCAGAGAATGAAATATATAGCGAGAGAGAATATAAAATAGTGATGTAAATAAAAATAAAAATCCATAACTGTAAACAAGTGAACCTAAAATAAACAAAACAAAAAAGTATTTAGAAGAAAATAGTTTAACTGAAGGTTTTTTTTATTCTAGAAAAATTGCAGTTGTTATCTACGACCTGCGGGACACCAGCAGCCAATGAAAAACTTATTGGCTGAATGCGGAGAGAGATACGATGGTTTTCGCCAATGGCTTTGCCCACCCCTAGCATTTTTTCCAGCTACGCCATAAGCAAGAGGTGTTACTAATGTTTTAGTTATGCGAACTCTGTATAATACAGTGAAGTGAGAGGTATACGAAAGTTTATTGTTTACATCCCTATCGATTTATCTATTCGCATATTTCATGATGTCCGGGAAGCCCTGGGCAATGTTCGCGACATTTTCTTAAGATACGATCTCTCACATATGCCGGTTAAAGTTATCAAGGTATAAGAATAAATCGTAGAGCTTTGATACATTTCGACGTTCAGGATTAATTTCTCTAGAGAATACTACGCTGTAACAAAATTTCTAGAAAGCAGAGCCTCAAGACTTTAAACCGCTGTTCAATTTGTCGGCTTAAGTCTTACGCTGTCTTTCTCCATAACTATTGTATAAGCACTGAAAATTTTGAACTCAATAGACGTTAATAGCCCGAGAAATGCGGCCGTAAAACATTCGTGTACATACCCATAAATCGTCCTGGATAATGTATTGATTTACTAATAATTGATACTGATGAGATGTGTTTCGGTTTCGGAATATCAGTAAATACTCCTTTATATGCATTACACATTTGTATTTGATAATGTTTTAAACCGAAAAATAATTGTAAACATGTTATACAAGCTGTTAATAAGCAAATATATTTAATATCTTGATTGATAAAATTAAGATCTAAATTATAACATAAATCTTTCGATAGGTCAGTTAAACCACATAGGATTAGATTAAGAAATAGTAATAGTTTTTTTGTTAATGCATATGTATGATCTTGAATCCAAAATGTGAAATAATAAACAAGTGTAAATGCACTTGTGTATAAGCAAACAATTAATTTTGAATAGCGAAAATGTGAACGTACGGAATAAATGTGACGTTTGAAAAAGCCAATGAAAGAATTTAAACAACGAAATAAACGTGAGTATTCATATTCTTGGTAGGAATTTAAAATTTTTGATGATTTCAAGAGATTAAATCTCACATATTTCCAACGTGGTAATGATTGATATGATGAAGACTTTTTAAATTTGCCACGAAATGTATTTAAAAATAATATTGTTAAACAGACAGCCAAATAAGCAATAAAATAATAATAGGGAGCATTTCTTATGATATTATAGAATATACTTTCTTTATTTAATTCTAATGAATATTCCAAACGTTTTAAATCATTATGAATTTCTGATTTATCATCATTTGTTAAACTTTCAATATATTTGTCTGTTTTATTGTGATACCATAAACGTGAATTGAGATATGTTTCATTTAGTTTTCCAGTTCGATTGGCACCTAAATATAGACGGGGAAAAAATTCATTTTGAATTCTAAATGTCAAATAAATTAGTCTCCCAAGAATTTTATGTGCCTTTCAAATTTATTCATACGAATCCAATCTATTCTTAGAAAAATTTTCTCACGGACTCTGTCGTATAATTTTTGCTCTGAGACATATAATATGTAGTAAGGAGACTATGTTATGAACTTGTCGTCAGGGGTTAGTTGGTTGGTAGGGGATAGGAAGAACTCAACATTCTACTGGTTGTCGATTCGCAACTATAGGAAAGATATCGGACTATTGAATCTGTGGTTGGACGACAGTCGTCCTATTTCTATATTGATCGAATGATGAGTCATTTCATGAAATAGATAATTACATACCTAAATTAAGCATCATATATTGTTTAACATTGACGCCCATTTTAAGCAGTTTGTCTAAAGTTTCTTTAATAATCGATATTTTTCTTTTATCGAATTCACAACTAATATCTGATTGTATTTTAAAGATAATTTCACAATACAAATAAATTGTTCCTAGACCATAGGATACGAGATTTTCTAGGCGGTTTTCATAGTTGTTTTCTTTTTCAAATATTGATAAAATTGGAAAATATCTTAAACCCAACATAAGACCAATGCCGAATTGTATAATTAAATCAAGTAACGGTCCGTGTTGAAAATGTTTCGCACCATTAACGATATATTCGTCAAATATATGCAAAATTTCTAATGCTATGATACCGAACACAGCGGCTGATTGAAAACGATAAATATGTGAATGAGAATTAAATACCATAGGCAGTGATAAATTTTGCCAAAATGATTTAAATGTTCGTTTTTTTCGGCAGGAAAAATTTTCAAAAAATATTTGAACTAATATAAGAATCAATAGAATACATAGTGATATGTAATTTGCTGGTATTTTATAGTATAAATTCAATCTTGTTTGAAATAATTTGCATATAGTTGGCGTTTGCTCTTTTGTTACGTTGTGAAGTTTTTGAAAAGCATGTAAATTTTGAATTTTGAATTGATAAATTGTATGGCAGCACAGCGTGGCAAAAATTATTGTTATTAAACAAATAAATACACGCCAGAAATAATATAAAAATGAATGATGACAACAAACGGATGATGATGATTTTGATGTCGAAGAGGAGTCTATTGAATAACGTCGAAGACGAACAACCGTATGCGGAGAAGAATTTAGAACCATCGTGGAAGATTCATTGTCATTTGAAAAGGCTAAATTTTTCATACCATCTTTAATAATTAATTGATCAGATGAAACATTTGGAATTGAATAGAATTTCTCTCGTGTATTATGAGAATCGATTGTAGACATTAAACTAAAATGAACAGGAAGGAAATGAAGTTCATGGTTTCTTTTTTTCATTTCATTTTGTTAGTCATTACGACGCATAAAAGATAGGAAAGAGAAGAGAGCAAAAAAGACGAAGTTACATATGAATATTAGAGTTGTGTAAGATTTTATTTTAGCAGATGCTCATAAAAGATAAATATGCGTATATGTATAGTGTCCGTTCGTCTATACTCTCATGATCGCATTTATCATCATCATCGTCGAGCCGTATAAAAGAGTTGTATAACAAACGAGCCGATATATACCCACCCACATGTGTCCATCATTCACAATGAATTTTGATCAACAGATAGTCAATGAAAATGATGCAAGTAATACCGTTTTTACTATTTTGCTCTGTAATTGTCTCTGTGAATGTGTCTATACTATGAGTGATTGTAAATTCGAAAATAATGATATCATCTAGGCTCAATGTGTCTCGCCACCTACTTTAATTGGGGGACACTGTAATGTATGATCGTGTTTAGATATTAGGTGATCATGCAATAAGAAAATCAGTTCATTTTACGCAGTGGAAGAGCTAACGAGGAGGGTCTGAGTATATTCTGAGTTTGTAAATAGATGAACGAAATAATTTCGTGAGGGATGTGCTGATTTATGTCCTCGATTGAGAGAAGCCGTTTGACACCCTGCATATAATAAATTTCTATAGCAGGATTGCCGATTGTTTTGCAGAGCGGGAGGAGCTAAAAATTTGACGGAAGGTGTCGCATCTTATTTTTCGGTAGAAACTCGATGACAAACGTTAAATTCACGGATTTTTCGCAAGAAAATTCGTAGCTGCTAATTGAAAATTGCCGTTCCTACAAAAATTTGGTAGAAAGCCTGACAGATATTCGATTTTTGGAAGGGGTTAGTCCTTCCCATCCCCTACCTACTCGGCTAGCCTGACCTATAAGCAAATGAAAATATTTTCCCTATAGGTTTTATAACACAAGAAGCGTAAGCTTTTCCGCATCTATCATAAAATAATACTCGCCAAGATAACCAAACGAATTCAACTGCGTTGCACACGACCTGTAATTTTACGTAAAATCCTACGAAGCACTCGGAGACTTTTCTGTAACCAGCGGGAGTCTTCTGCAATTTTTATCTACGTATGACAACGATGATCTTATTCGTCCATGTTAAATCTCTTGTCAATGAACTCAATCTATCAGTTGTAAAGCTTTGATTTCTATTAACTGTACGCGACTATTTTTGTTTTCAATGGCCCATTCGTCATTTGTGAATAGTTCTAAATCCATCATCATTGGCCATATCATGCACGAGAATGTCCTTTCTCTGAGCTTTTCTTTCGCTATGATAAACCTTTCAACTACTGTCGCCAATTTTTTTTTATACGGCAGGAACTAATAAAGCGAAATTTAATTTGACAAGGTTTGTTCAAAGAAACACTAATGAATAAAAAATTTGTAAAGCGGATAACAACAAAGCAACGACGAAGCCTAATGAAGAAGAGAAAAATGTGCCCTTATTCACTTACTTTTTTTTCTTAATGAAATTTTCGTCTTTGCCTCTTGAACGATAGATCGCATGAAAAATTGAATGAAAAAAAAGTATGAACAATGCCAAACAAATAAATATAACTCCAATAATCGACTGTACACCACGACTATTCACTAAAATAGATATGAATATGATATTAGAAGGAGTCATCTTTTTTCAATTTGTCAAATGTCAAAGTTCGAATGGATAAAAGTTCATAATGATCTTTTCGACAAAAACAAAACAGACAATCCATTATTATCCTTTTCGAATAATGAATGACGTTACTTTTTTGTCATATACATTAAAACACAATCATATTCTATTTGCTTTTCGTTCGCTCATGTGGGTCTTATCATATTGATCAATGTTTCAGTGCTTTAGACACCACTTCCTTGTTGTGTTATTTTTTTTCAATCATGATCAATACTCGCTGATAGTCATAACAATTGATTAACCATGGCTGAGATTGAGATGATAAAACAGACAGATCGCACAAAAGAAAGTAACCATAAAATCGTTTATCTTTATACGCACATATGGCACATCAAAATGATCATTAGATATTGAGTTTATTTTGTATGAACAGAAAATAAATTAAGAACAATGATCGATTGTTTTTCTTTTTCTATAAACTAAAGAAGGAATTTCTCTGCATGATGATAATATAATAATGTCGGATGGTGGTGAAACAAAAACTTAATTCGCAATAAAATTAATATTTTTCAACGCTTTTGTCCTGATAAACAAATCAAAGAAAAGTCTACTCATCGAAACGTTTGCTTACGATGATCAACAGGAGATGTCAACAGTCGCTATAACTTTTCAAATCGAATCAGCATGTGAACACTAGCAGTCCTCCTGTTTGATTTAAAAGGAAAATATCTTTGCACATCGGGCATAATTGTTCTTTTTGCGCTCGTCTTTCAGATGGAACAGTAAAACTGTATTTTTGAAAAAATCGAAAATAAAAATTCGTGTGCACGATGAATCAGAGGAAATATGTCTGTTGAACGAGACGAATGCGTGATAAGATGAGACATGACGTCATACATGCAACCACATGCAATGAGTCACTTTAGTAGTATATGATATAACGCGATACTACGGTCATAATATTCGTCATGGGTCACTATTACATGCATATTTTTTTAAGCTTTGAAAACGTTATAGATTTCAGTCAGCAGGAAAATACTCGTATTTAAAAATCGGCTCTTTCAGAGGAGGAAAACATACAGTAGTAAACTATTCTGAAAGGTTTTGCTTTACTTTAAAGATTTAGGCTCGAACACAATGTCTCACTCTTTTCTATGACTTCGACTCAAATTTGTAGGAACAAAAATGTGACTTACGCTCATTACAAGAGTCTCCAGTATACATAAAATTGCAAACACATGTAAATGTAGTAATTAAATTTTTGCATTGTCCATGACGACCACAGCCTGTATTATTATAGCAACTATTAATTTCTGTAATAGAATAATAATACAATAAAAAGAAAACAACTTTTACCAGACGAAAAACTTACTCATTTTACAAATATAATGATTACTGCGTTGTTCTAAACGAAATTTTTCTTCCAATGATACGCGTCGTGTAGCTTTACTAATGTCAATAATTAAACATGTGTTTGCCGGTGGTATATCAGGTGCTGGTTTATATATTAATGAGTAATCATTTGTATTTCCAACGGATATAAATTGTTGTTCACCCATTCGTTGTTGTAAATTCAATACTGAATAGAAATAATGTTCATTATGTATTTTCGAATAACAAATAGAAACTTACGACGTTTTCCGTTGATAAAACTAACAGCAATTCGAGGACTGCCAAATGATTGAGTTTGTTCATATATACGACTGAGAACATAATCAAATTCATTAACTGTTTCTATATCCCAAAGTTCAGAATTGATTAGACGACAACGATTTGTAGCTACAAAGAAAACGATTTGCCCGTTGTAATACATTCACTATTGTCGAAAACGTTGCATTCAATAAAAAAAACTAGTTTAACATGATCCTGATTGACAACAAGAATTTCATTGCTATTATAGGAGTTCTATCGGCCAACAAGAAGTTTTACTTTTTGTACTGATCAATATGCATATTTAACAAAAATTCTTGTGTCTGACAATGGTATATACCGGTAAATCGAATACAAAACGCTTGTTACAACATAGATTTTCTCACACAAACTTCTGAATTTTTATCTAAAAGATGATTCGAGTCTGAAATTCGGTATGTCTTTCATTTGCTTTTGAGTTTTCAGCTTGTTTCTTGAAAGTAGTCATTTGATCGATATCTGGAACGATGATGAAATGAAAAACTGATTCAGGCAAAGAGACAACCGTGAATAACTTATATGCGTTCTGTTTTAATTCGTATTAGACTTACTTGTAACTCGAATCCTACAAATGTTTCACTCAGAAGATGAAATAACAACTATTCAATTTGTTCGTAGATACCATGTCAAACATTAGAATTTCATTATGAGCTGACTCCTGGCTAGAGATACACGGGATCGCCTTTTCTGTTGTTTCAGTGATTATAGCTTTTCTATTGTCTATCTTTGTTAAGAGAAAAATGTTGTAGAATTTTTCGTTTTGCATTTAAAATGCTTCGTCAATGCTGGCATTTTTATCCTGATCCCAGTCATTGGGACCGGAATCTATTCTTCTCATAGCGGACTGAAGTGTGTGCCGTCAAAATTTTTAATAGTAACTTGCCAATCTTAATCCTTTATGTCAGCCGTTGAATTAAGTCATGAATAAAATCATGAACTCAGAAAATAAGATTTTTTTAGTGTGATATCGATGAGAAAAATTTCCGATCACAAAATCCATTTGCGCATCCTTTAAATATCTCATCATCAATGAGATTTTCGTTGACCATGAAAGAATTATTCCACAAAGATATTTTTTTGTCAATTCAATTAAACTGATTTCGAGCATCGAAAACATCTTATACCTTCATCGACTGATACATCGCCAAGTCCAATTCCTTTCAAATTATCAATTTGTTTCGGCGGTAAATAAAAATAACAAGAACCATTATAGAAAAAACTATCCAGCGGACAAGCTAAAACAAAAATAAATTAGTAATCCAAATAATTAAGATAAACGTGTATATATATTTACTAATACTAAGATCATCAAGTTTTTGCATAACATCAGTGATAGCTTGTTTAAATCCTAGAAGTAACAACGTTCAGCGATATGCATATACAACAAAGACATACGTAAGCCCAATTCTCTTCTGTCTTGTTCAATATTGGATATACGCGATGCTTGAACATGATAATTTAAATGACCGTGAAAGAGGCAAAAAACAAGGAGAATACTTGTTAACATAGCGAACCTAAAAAACCAACATTTTAACAAAAATAAACAAACTAAACCTTTCTAATCTGTTTCTTCATCGAAATAAAAAGAAAATTCTAATGATGTATCGATTGTTTATATTTTTTTGACAGACTTGACTGATAAATAAAAAAAACAAGGATAAAACTAACAGAGAAAAAAAACGATAATTTCACTGAAAATTTATTCAATTTACTTTACGTTCAATATGTTTATCATAATCAAACAAACACACATACTGAGTCTGTATTTACATAAGAATATCTATGGTCAAGGTGGCAAGATGCTAATTATCATCAATAGCATCATGATACAAACCTAATCCAATAGAAGTGTTTTTGTTGATGTTGGTCGAAAAGAAAAATAACGTAACTATACTTCATCTCGATGTTAAACATAGAAAATGATCCTCAAGTGTATTTAAATAAGTGTGTATATCTCTATCTCTCTATGTCGCTCGCTCGCTTTGTCTTTCTCTTGAGATGCAATAAATTTATATTGAAACGAAGGTGATCATTAAACAACGACATTCAACACACGTCAACTAATTTACTTCATAGACTCATCTATCATCCCATTGTCGAAGTCAATTAACTTACGAAGGGTGAAAAACTCTCGTACTTAATTATTAACTAGAGACAGACGACAGTTCAACCCTATAATAACCTGTTTTGATGACAAGTAATGTTCAACAAAAATAAATCAGATAAATGACAATCGTGTTAATTGGCTTGAGAACTGCCGAAAAAGGTTAAAACGCATGACACAACACCAAAAAAAAATATTCGGTTTTTTTACAAATATGAAAATGATCTTACTTGTATAAAATAGAACAAAAGCTACGGCATACCTATATGAAAATTGATCTTTATATGATTAAGAAAGTTGTCAGCCAAGGTAACTCAATTGATATATATTTTTTTTTCTTTTGTTCAATTTGACTCCTTGCGTCCTCGTCACTGTCCAGGGAAAGATCAAATTTTCTTTCTATATGAAAATGAGCCAAGAAGAAAAAAAGAAGTCTACGTTTCATAGGGTTGCCTCTGTAAGCAGAACATGGAAATGTGTTAGCGAGAGAAGAACAAAAAAGATATAGTGAATGGAGATGCCGGGCATCGATCCCGGTGCCTCTCGCATGCAAAGCGAGCGCTCTACCAAGTGAGCTACATCCCCGTGACTATCTCAAGATAGAATGACTTTCTACTAGACTCAAGAAGATCTCTTATATATATATATATATGTATGACATATGTGTAATCATAATGAGAAAAAAAGAATTATAATTAATCTGTATTAATGAAAATGTTGCATAAGTTTACATTGGGCGGCACACTGAACGCAGCGGCCACCCGCCGATCAACAGACAAACATATGGATGATATTGACTATGAATATAAATAATGTGTGTGTCTATAGGGCAATACACTTACTCTAGATACGGATGATATCTTTGATCTTAACACCTCTTAGTGGAATTATTGAAATCGCTGAACATGCGCTGCGAGTGTTAATGAATTTTATTGAGAAAGAAAACTTACATGTTCGTTTGGTATTAATGTCGGTTGTTGTGTTGTTTTGAAAGTTAATAAAAATTAGACGTGCATGATGAAATTAATTGCTATAATTCAAGAGTATACAATGCCAGAGAATAAATGAGTCAAGTGGCGCATACCAATACGTGTCTATATGTTATGTCTTGTACACTCTCTCTCTTATATGTTTCGCTTCTTTCTTTCCTTTTTATTTTTTTTTATTAGAGACAATACTTTTGTCCATTTGCTTTGCTCGGTGTTCTCTCCTCCTTCTGTTCTTCGTTTGTTTCTCTTCGCTAGTCAATTTGATGGCTCCATTCGATGATGTGTGTGTTGGTTTGATAAAAAAAAAAGAAAGAAAACGAAACTATGCCACATATTTCGAATATGATTGAAATGATGAATATACTCCGCTCTTTGAACTTATCAGTCAAAAATGAAAATCACACTGAACAACTGCCGCAAGACATATGCACGAGAATTTTATTTGTGTACATTCACAATCATCTCGTCCTTGTCGTTGACACCTATTTAGCAAATATTATGTTTGATATGATTTGTATCTAGAGTGGTTTCACTTAACACATATATGTGCACGCATACGTATCTTCTCTCATGCTGATTGATTGTCACCTTAGCTTCTACTGTCTAGTTCACCTTCTCACTGTGTTCAGCATCACAACAAGTGCCTTGACTCATATGAAATTCAATTCGAAAATCAGCACATATCATTATGATGGCGATGTGTTTATCTTGTTGTCAGAAAACAGGTGGCTCATATATAAATATTCTGCCTAATAGACTCCACAAATCATGATCTATGACAGAAGAATTTTTTTATGATGCTAAATAGCCAAGATACTTTGTGTGTTATGCTTATTTATGCCTTTTGTTTAATCGTTATCATGCAATAATTGTAATTGATTGCTCAGAAGAGACTAGTGATCCGAAATGAGCAAAAAAAAAGAATGAACGATTATTGCAACACTCCATATTTTTTATATCATTGAGCACAATCTATGCATACGTAATCGATTGCGATGTGTTCTTCGCGTTCGATTGATTTTTATTTCTCCTTGTCAATGTTTACTTGTTGTTTTTATTTTCGTCATTGGTCTTGTTTTGGTACAAAAGCAACTTTGAACTGTGAGGATCTTTGTACAGATACAATATTTTTATGAAGAGATTTAGATGTAAAGAGTAACAAATAGTTCGCATTTGATAATGAAAATTTTCTGTAGGTCTTCAATTCATATACGCGTTTCTCTTTGTTTAAAATTCTTGCCTTTAGAATGGAGGAAATGAACAACAAGTTCAATGTCTCGATTATATAATTGTAATGATTAGATGTCTTTTTAATTTCTATTACATTGTTAATGCATCGAATAGAAAAGATATAGGAAGTCATAGATGTATGCGAGGTAACGAAAGCACATATATATATATATATATATATATATATATACACGTATACAAACATATAGAAGATGTGAAAGGCGTAAAGGTATAGTAAGCATGCAAGGTCATAGTATTCTACGAAGAAATACAGATGTAAAAAGTATTGCGAGATGTAGGAATCATAGAAGTTATGAAAGGTCATAAAGGTATGCGGGATACAGAAAAATATATATGAAATGATTACGATGACAGATGATGTATAATAACAGGCATATGAAGTATGCGGAGTAACACGGTGTACATAGAACATTTGTGATGCGTGAAGGTATAGGGAGTGATAATATAGATAGTGAATTGCATAGAAAGTTCACCGAGAGAATTGCTTTCGTAATTTTCGGAGGTTATCATGTTCACATTGTGATCATTTAACATCGCTTTTTATTTTTTCATAGTTAATTATCTTTGTTTGTACAGATCGAGCACTGAAAAAACCCTAAAAATTAGTTTTTGCGATTTTGTTGACCAGGAAAAAAAGAAATTTTTGAAAGCGGAACTGGTGGCATAACATCGTACGTCCGTGCTGACAACATATACTAGTTACTTATGTTGACATTCGCTCAAAACAAGCGTGTTGGAGAAGAGAAGAAAACCTTGAGAATTATGTTCAACTCAGTCAACAAGAATATTTCCAATTATAACAGCGATGACACAAGTTCAATAGTAGAATTAGACAAGTATCACAGTTACATCTCATCAGTAGGGTTTTCACAAAAATCGAAGTGAAAACTCGTGTAAAATATTTTTGTAAGTTCTCCGAAGGCATAAAACTTCATGACATTCGAAAATCACAAGTGACATTAGAATAAAATGAATTGCAACAGCAATTGTAATTTTATTCTCATTAGAAGATTGTAATATCAACGACCATGATTACACTGTCGTGTTGCTATGATGCAGCAATTATAGTCATATATTCATTTGAAGAACTTAGTCATGCATCCTTAGAATTGCCAAGAAGCTTTGTACTTCGTTGTTAAGTACCTTCTAATGATGGTTCTATTTACTTTAATACTGATTATGTTAAAACCAGAAAATTCTTTAGATATTTAGTTTTAATAAAAGGCCTCGATCAGACCGTTAGTATGTACGCGATAATCTCGTCGATAATTTCATTCTGTCTTTTGTTTTTCAGTAAGTTATAATTTTATTCATCTATGAGTTTTATTTAAGAATAACATAAATTGTTGAATACTGCGCCCAGCTAATTGTGAGTATTTTTATAATGTGAAAATATTCTATGACTTACGAAATTTACATTAGTGACTAAAAGGAATTTTCAATATCCGTATTGTATTCATCTATTCGTTGATGAGATAAGGCAACATCCAAAATATTCAAGACGCGAGTAGTCATCTGGTTGATTTCAATTACCAGTTTAACGAGGAGAAATGAGGATATTTTTCTAAGAACCCAAAATGATTTATCCGTGCCAGAGACGTGCACAGGACAGGGCGGTCCTGCTGTCCTGTCCTGGAGGACAGGATGAGATTTCGATTTTTGCCCTGTCCTCCCGCCCGCCAGGACCAAAGTAGCCAGCAGGACAGGTAAGGACAGGACAAAACATCTTGCCTTGTGCACGTCTCTGATCCGTACTATACGATTAAAACACGTTTATATTTCATAATATTGTTTAACTTGTGCGATGTGTTTTCTTTTTTTATATTCCGTTTAATCCTCTTAAGTACCAATAGAACTTGTGCTCTCAAATTGCAAAGACACAAAGACTACAAAAAATATTTGTCATGCCAATGTGTATTAAATCAAAAATATAAGCAAATAATTCTTATAACATGACTAAAAGAAGCAACCAAAATTCTGCACAAACAATTCAGACTTCTCATCAACGGCGATTATTCTTTCTTATGTCAGTTGTAAGAATGACTGCATTAATGAATCAATATTTTGTATATCATTATTCATTCGAACAATCGTATCCACTTGATCAATTACTATTTGAACGCATAGATACTTTGTAATCATCTTTGTAAAAATATATATTGCATTTTTTTCGCCAAATTTTTCAATCATATATACCCATAGCAATTCAATATATGAAGATTGAATTTCTTTGATAGTACTTAATTCTCTATATTGTGCAGGATCAAATATCGATCTTGTTGTTGAAGAACTACTTGTGAAAAACAGAACAGTGATTAATAGTTTGATTATAATTGGATCATATGTGACAAAACCAACAAAATAGCTTGATAATTGTCGAAGCATTTCATGTATATTGATATTATTATACAAGCCAGTTGTTTGAATATGTGAACCACGAAATTTCGAATTAACAGGTGTTTGCAATATAGCATAGTTTAATGGTATTAAAAGACGTATGTTTTGTTTAATTAATAATACTTGATCATCAAGATTTAGACGCTTTAATTCAGGCAAATGTTTAAAGTAACTTATAAGATTAATAAAAATTGGTTTCTTACGATTGAAAAATTCATCAATACGTAAGACAAGAGGTCTCAGTGGAGGAAAATGTCCCGATGAGGAAGGCTCGTAAGTATATTGATCATAACAATGTGTTATATTATTAACACGTGTTCGGTCGGTTGAACTTAACATCATTAAAATATTTGCATTGCCGATTGTCATTAAAGCTGGAATCTAATTAGAGAAAATTAAAAAATATTTCGAACGAAAACAAAGAAAGAATACAAACTTTGGGTGTCGCTTGGGGGTATTTTTGACGGTAACCTTTGTCTAATTGAAGACGTTTCATATATTTTTCTACTTCGCTTCGTATAGATTCTTTTCTCATGCCTTAAAAAAATAATTAACTCCATATAAAATATTCATCAGCAAAACATGTATAGTCTTATTTCAATGACGTGCATACTTAAATAACACCAAATTCAATATTTTTCAGGGAAACGTAAAACTTTACATACAAGATCAAATATCAAAATCTATTTTCAATGGGGTTTGAATAGGAAATTTTTTTTCCAGGTTAGACTTGTTTCGAACAGTTGCATCATGGTTTCTGTTTGATTTGACCTTTGATGTGTTCTTGTCAATCCTTCGTATGGGTGTCACTGAGGTAATTTGAATGAAAATATTTTTCATACGTACCGACAGCAAAGCATTTCATTATTCGACAATAAGAGCAATGCCGTCGACTTTCGACTGTTATATTACAATTACCGGAAAATCGACAGTGTAGATCACTCTAGAAAATAATAATAATTAAAGATAAAAATTAATTTAAAAAAAATTTATACTCACCATATCCCTTAAGGCATTTCGGCGAAAAAATGCTATAAAATAAAATTCGAAAACATATCTCTTAAGAATAATTCATTGTTTATGTTACCTTTACAGCTTTCACATGATATCTGATCAAAATTATATCCAAATGCTCGTCCACTACATACGACACATCGTAGGCTTTTTTTCTTTTTGGCGTTTTCACCATTCACCATTGTGACATCATACTAAAATGAAGAAAAAGAAGAAGAAGAAAAAAACACAAACATCGTGAAAGATAGCAAAAAAAAACAAATTTATTTTACTTGGTCGATCATATCTGAAACACTTAAGTTAGGATCTTCTAAATATGCGTTGATAGAATTGTGGGTAAATTTTGAATAATTTCGATGATTGATTAGATGACAAGAAACTGCACTCATCTGAAAAGCAAGAACTAATAATTAACCAACTGAAATTTAATTATTAACGTTCGATATGAAGAGAAAAACACCGTTTTTTTAAATTATCGTAGCCAAGGACGAGAAGCATCATGATAGCTGACTCATTTATGGAGAAAAGCGTAACCTATTCTCTCAACGATTCGTTTCTTTCCTACCTACTGACTTAAATTATTGAGACAGAAGCAAAGAAAAGCACACTTCTTTGTTTTTTCAAATATAATAGCCGACGCATCCTAACGCTTGTTTTTTCTACAACACATGCGTAAACTAATGAAAAAGCGCTTATATAGAAAGAAAAAGAAGAAACAAAGAGAGAGAAAAACTAACTGTGCAAAGTGGCTTCTAGGTCAAGAAACATGACGTGGATATTCTCTCTATTTAAATCGCATTTTTCGTCTGTACGTAAAAACAAAATAACTCTCATACAAAAAAAGCCAACATTTTTTTTCCTTTGTTTACAATTCAGAAGATACTATTTTAGCCATTTGCTAAAAATAGCCTTCTGGCAAAAAAAATTATATCTGTAATGATTTAATTTTCTAGGTCATTACCAAGGAATATATTCTCTTGCGATGAACATACTATTTTTAATCATATCATGCATGATTTCGTGTCCATGTCAAGAACACCTATGAAAATAAACTTCAGAGACTCTTGCAAGACATTAAAGACAATTTATTCTTTATTTTAGAATGCAATTTAAAAATAATTTATATTCATACGTCATATTTTATAACCTGAAATTAATTGAATATGTTCTATGTATTGATCTGACGGAGATTTTATTTTATTGGTAAACAAATTTACAAACAAAAAAAAAATAAGCAAATAGATACAATCTGACAAATGATTGATACATGCACAAAATAAGAACATTATCAGACTAGAAAGATATATTCATTGGACGTAGTTGCCGAAGTTGATCTTGTAGATTAGCTGCTGATTGACGTGTACATGAATCTTGACACCAATAGTAATCAAGTAAATTGAAAAATGATAGAAGAACCTAAAATTGAGTAAAACAAAAACATAATGTATTTCATTAAAGCCGTTGTTTTTTTCATGTCTTCTTACTTGATCGGAAGTGTTTAAGCAACATATTGGACGTTTTTGTTCGATACAAACGAGTTGAATAAGATTTTCGACATTAAAATTAAGTGGTAATTGATTTTCATAAGGTCTTATATGTACCATTGAACAACAACAATTTCCAATCTCCCAAAGAACAAGTGCTAATGAATACATGTCACCTTGCTGATAGGCATTGATGCGATCAAAATTAAACTTAGTATTTTTATCAAGCAATTCAGGTGGCATATAGAGTTTTGTTCCCACACGATGATAAATACGTTCAATGCCACCGCCGAGAATAGTTTGCGTCTGACTAAAAGAAAAACATGAGTTTTTAATGACGTTTTAATTATAATGTAAAGATTCGTACGGATCACACCGGACAGCTAAACTAAAGTCCGATAAACAACAATCACCATTGAGTTTAACTAATATGTTCGAACTTTTTATATCACAATGTGCCATTTTTGGTTTGCACATATCTAAATAAAGATAAAAATTGAGTGTTTACAGTAAGGTAAGTCGAAACAAACAATGACTATTTCGATAAAGAGTTCGTGCAACTCAAAACTGACTCATCGTACTGTAAAAGTAACCGTTAGATATGACCTGTTTATCAAATTTGTTTTTGAGAAATGTACGATTTCATTAATATTGACGAACTTTGAGCCTTCTGAGTGTCAAGTTCTTTAGTGAATATTGCAATTTCTTTATAGAATACCACAAGTTCTCAGGAATTTTCAAAAAAGATTGAGATGATTATAGCTTTTATTATTACTAATCAAAAGAAGATTTACAAAAATAGGTGAATAAGCCACTTAAAATTTTTCGTTGATTGACTTTTTTCTTATGAGAAAGAGTGAATCAGTGCAAAATCGTCCGTTCCTTTTCATATACAAGGAAAAAATGGCAGGTTCATTAACTCAAGACATCCAACGAGAAGTATTTTAATTATAAAACGACTCTTTTATGTAATAATATAAGTTTAATTCAGAAACCATTGTCATATTCTGCATCTTGATATGTTCATTCAGATAAAGAAGCATATAAATTGACTAAAACGATGCACGTTTAAAAGCGCTGAGATGCACAATCCAACACGAAGAAGTAGGAAAGAAAAGAAATTTACTGCAGTGCACGTTGTCAAGCAGATAAAAAAAACCCACTAAGTATCATTCATGAAAGGTCAAGCCTCGGGCTATCTTCTCATATGTTTATCTTAATTTCGAAGTTCTCACATAAATTGGTACCAGCTTTAGGCTATGAAATCAAAAGAAAATCGATGTTTATTCATTCTCTACCTATCAAATGGAACATATCTAAATACAATGGAATATAAAAAACGGTTTTATATGAGAAATGCTTGAATAATTTCAATTTCCCAATCTATGACAATTTTTCTTTCTAAGGAAAAAAGTACTTTTTCTGTTCTTCTTAGAAATCCAATGAATATCTTTATCCGTGGATACTGAACGAAATTACTATTACCATTTGTTCCATATTTAATCGAATGTAAATGTGCAAGACCATCGCTTAGTGATATTGAATATTGTAATAATTGTTCAATCGTTATAAATGATTCATTTCGATTTTCTTTCAAAACATCGTAGAGTGTACCATATGGATGCCATTCAAAGATTAACATATGATAAGTTTCAACACTTTTAGCGAAAAAATCAGCACCAAAAAACGCTAGACAAAAACGATACTAGTCAAAAATAATTATTTTTCAGATTTATTTACCAAGTACATTTGGATGTTGAATAAAATCAGTTTCGAAAATCGCTCGTTCACGTTCGAATTCATTTTGAAATCTTGGTTCGTACATTTTTATTGCCCGATATTGTTGCCCGATACGGCCGAGACGAACACGCGCATGTCGTCCTTGACCTAATTGACCAAGAAATGTTATTTCTTTATTCATACGACGAGTTTCCTAGAAGATTTTTTAAAATTTTTGTCAAAATATTTAAATTTAAATCTGAGAAATTTACAAGTGTAACAATTTGATCGTGAGGATCGGATAAATTTGATTTCCATGATATTGTATCGGAATGGTAATCAATGGAAAATGAATTTGAAGATTTTTTCTTTCTACCATGAGATTCAAAGCTACGTTTATCATCGACAAAACTTGTTGATTTAAACGATGTTGACCAAAATATTTGAAATCTTGAAAAGAAATTAAATTCGATATCTTTTGTTTGTAGAGATTTGGATCTTACTTTCGTTTGTACGAATAATAAATCACAATAAGCAAAACGATAAGAGCGAAAATAGTACCTATCGTGATGATCGTACTGAATGTATTTGTATTATTCGAGTCGGCAGATATTGATTGAACTGTAGATGTTGAGGCTAATTTAAAGAACAAAAAGTCAGTATAGAGTAGACTTGTTTACTAAAGCAAAATCTGCCATTATATGTTGAACTATATTAGAGTTTCTTGTACTCGACAGAAAAATGCCTGCTGAGTGAAAACAGCGAGGAATAAAATTAATACCCTGGACATGGTCTACTCTTGATTAGGACCATTATTAGGCCCACAAAAATTCGTCCCTGTTTTGCTCTCTTTTTTTGTCCCATACAAAAATAAGTTTTCTCTTAATTGGTCCCATAAAGAGAGAAAGTCGAACAGTAACTCGTCCCATTCTAAAGATGACTCCTATTGGTTATTGAAAATGATTTATATGACTAGTATGAGAGAGTGACATTTTGGTATCATTTTCACTAATTTGGTGGATCTGGTGAATAGAAAAAAGATATGGCAAACAATGAGAGCTTTATTCATATATTCATTGTATGCTGTTGTTACTATAACATGTTTCGATTTACAACCACTGAACGGAATAAGCAAATTCTAAATTATTTGGATTTTCAATACACTGTTAAACGAATAAATAAAACATGTGTCGAATGGAGGTGTAGAAACAGATCGCTCAAGTACAACTAAAAAAAGAAGGGAAATCTACGATAAAATCGGTGAAAAACTTTTGGAATTATTCAACATGTTTGACAATGGTCAATTAACTGTCACTGAATTGGCTATTCAATCAGGTAAAGCAGTCAAGATAAAAAAAAAGAAATAGTAAATTCTGTGTTATTTATTTTTTTGCTCTTTATATATTTTTTTATGTTGTATGAAACTTAATATATAAAACAAATATTAGATAAACCAATTGGAGTCATCTTTAGAATGGGACGAGTTGCTGCTCGACTTTCTCTCTTTATGGGACCAATTAAGAGAGAACTCATTTTTGTATGGGACGAAAAAAGAGAGCAAAACAGGGACGAATTTTTGTGGGCCTAATAAGGGTCCTAATCAGGGTGTCACCCTGGACATAGTTCAAGTCTTGAACTTATTGCTTCCGAGATGCGACATTTTTTTAATGAATTCTACGGTTCACATCTGAAAAACTAATTCTGAACTTCAAGGTTTACTTAGAAAAAATTCTCAACAAGAATGTTTCGAATTTCACAGCCATTTATTTTTGATGATACAGCTATGCTGAAAACGCTTGCCTAATGTAACGGTAGAGTCAAGTTTCTTCTGTCAGAGTAAAAGCAAATAGTAAAATTTGACGCTTTACTCATAAATTTTTATCATCGAGCTTGATTTCTGTGCAGATTTTCAACTTCAAATTCCGTTTCGTGTCGAGAGGTTAGAATATTTATTTTTTCAACTCTTGCCATTTTATCGTATCCAACTCACGCAAATAGTCTCGATGAAATTATCTGATTTAAACATTCATTCTTAATCATATCAAACAGGTCTTCTCTATGCTTTATCACGGCGTTAAACTTCGTTTTTTTTATTGTCTAAATGACTTACATGCAATCGATCCATTTAATGTTTGATAATTGCTATTACAAAAGAATGATGAACAACATTCTGTTCGATAGTTAGCATCAGTTGTGTTGCACTACAAAATAAAGTATAAAATTGCTTGATTTTTCTTTGCAAACAAAGACATACGACAAAATGAGCAGTGTCTCTTTCAATACATCCGAAATCATTAGTAACATTAATATTCATTGAATGACGATAATAACAAAAATCATTTTCATTTACTGTTTGACAGAAAAAACGCGGTAAACAATATTTACAATGACATTTCATTCTAAAAACTAAGAAATAACAATTCCAACAGCACAATTTCTTTTATTCTCTATCGATCGATCGAAAAGACAAGCAAGCACATATGTATTCTTTTCAACAATTGGTTGATCCATCATCAAATGATAAAATATATCATAGAATCAATATTAAATTCATAATGTAATATATAAATATACTTTATGATTTCGTGCTAAAACTAATGCGTTTATTCTTATGACATAAAGATCGACAATGCCATCTATTAAAATAATCAATTACTCGGCCAATCATAACGTGCCTTTTTAAGAATGTTCACTTCAGCAAAACAAAATTCCATACGCGATTTTAGTTTCAAATTATTATTATTAATTGTTATTACATAGTTTATGACTTATTTTCATCTTGGAAAAGAAAAAAATGCCATGAAGTTCTTTTTTTGCCTTTTCTCTGTTCATCAACTTTTATATGCAACATCTTATTCGTTCTTTTCTGCAATTGAGATGAAAAATGTACGACACAACAGTAGCACCGCGACTGTTTTATTTCTTGTTGAGATTTTTTTTTCTCTACGACTTTCTTGCTTCTTAATGCTCTCTTTTTTTATCGCTGCCATCAGCAAATATTTAATGAAGAAAAAAAAATGAAGAGAAATTCTGCTTCCCTTATACACCTGCACTGCTGAGTCACACCAGAACAAGACGAAGAAAAAAAGAACGAGAAAGAAGTAGAGAGCATAGTGAGTAGTTTTCACTCATTCAAACATCGAACAGAAAACCATTGTCGTCAACATACAACAAAGATGAAGGTATATATTTTATAGGAGAAATATTTGTATGGTTCTAAAATAAATGCTGCCTATTAGTATGATGGTAACTGTTACTAATAATATGCACGACGTAGATGTATATTTGAACAAAATAACAAAAAAGAAATGTCGTAGGAATGACGCATGAAAGAAATCGATAGTTTTTTTTCTTACTCAAATAATCAACAGTTTGATGCATATCTTTTTTTTGTTCTTCCTAATAGATTGATTACAATCAAATATTTCCGTAAATACAATGGCATTTTATTTCGGAGTACTCAAAGGTAAGTTTAGTTATAAGCATTCGATTTTTCCTATATAGAACTGAAAGAAATTGAAATAAAATCCGGGAATTTTATTATGACACGCAATCTTTTAGAAGATTGTTTTGATTGAAAATATATGACATAAACCAGAGTTTTCTCTTACATTGCCGAAGGATTGATAGTAAATCAATAAAAATTTCTATTCATTTTTTAATTTAGAGCCTCGTGGCCTCATTCGCCTGCTTCAATTTATTTTCGCTATATTTGCTTTCGCTACAGCATGTAATGGCAGCTCATATCTATATATTCAGCAGGGTTCAAACTCAAACACAGCTAGTGTAGGATGGTCCTATCCTTATGATTTACGAGGCAGCCAAATTATTACCACAAATACCGCAATTACCAATAAAACAGTATATTTATCCCAGTCAAATAGCATTGCACCATCAGCTCAATTTTTCGTTTTCACTGGTGTTACATCTATGCTATTGGCACTTGGTTTTCTAGTAATATATATCGTATTGGACCGTCAATATCGTTATAATGACCGCATTCCCATAGTTGATTTTGTTGTTACTATAATCTGGACAATTTTTTGGATTGCTGGTAGTTCCGCATGGGCACAAGGTGTATCAAATATACAAATACAAACTTCGTTTAGTTATGTGTCCAGCCTTTTAGACGGCTGCAGTTCGGGGTCAGCATGTCAACAGAATGAATGTAAGATATTTTCAATTAATTTATCTTGATTATTTATCATACGTTTTCTCTTAGCTGGCACCTATGCTAATGTAACAGTATCAGTAATATTTGGCTTTTTGAATTTTATACTCTGGGTTGGTAGTGTGTGGTTTGTCTATAAAGAAACAAGATTTTTCAAAAGTCGCACAGCTCAGCAAAATCCACCGCAAAACAATTTTTCGAATATTTCTGCGTCAAATATGCAACAACAACCGCAAACTCGAATGCCAGGTACTATGGGTTAACAACAAAACTGAAAAATGGAAGAATGGATTCTGTGTGTGTGTGTGTGTGCGTTTTCTTTTTCTCATTTAATTCTATATGAAATCTCACCTGTTTAGGTTAAAGAATTCTCCTTTTCATTCTATGCTTGTGATGGCTTCTTGCGAAAAAAGTCTTTTGATCTTATTTGCTTAATTCGATATTACATTTTTCTTTTTATTATTCAAAACAAATATATCATAGAATTTTTTGCTTCGTCCATAATTATCAAAGGTATTTGTCTGTGTTTTTTTTGTTTCGTATAATCTTGAGGAAGAATTAAATCTTTGTTTTGTTTCTATTAAAAATATTTCTTATTTCTTATTTTTAAAGGCTAATAAACGTTCTGTTTAAACGCGTACATCAAATGAAATTATGATTCATATGTTTAAAACAAAATGGACTGTGAATAATCCAACACAGCCCAAGGGAATAAAGGTTATATCGAATTCGAGATGAAGACCTTTTGGCAAAAACTTGCTGAAGATGTTTAACCTCAGTAGGGGGAAATTTTGTTATGAAAAAATTCATTTGTGCTCGAAGAATGAGAAATCATTAGAGTTCATGCTTTTGATTTAACCGTTTGCAGGCCAATCACTATTTTCATATTATGTAAATATGAAATTTTCGTCTATTTTCTTAGAATATTTATCTACGATATTAGAAACAGCAGAATGAATACAATAATAATCGTGAAAGATCAACAGTGAGTGTGAAGGGCAATAGGATCGTTGACTTTACATCTGGTTTTTGTTTTTACGGGGAATAGAAAAAAAAACACCACGATAATTTAGTTCTCATAGACTATGAAGAAAGTATTTTTACAAGCACGAGACTGTTTCTATTGAAGATTAATGTACAATTATTATCAAGTATGATTGCGACTCATTTTCTTCTCTTCACTTTATTTCTACGAAACTTCAGAAATATTTAAAGTTCTATTTAATTTTGTTTGCATCTTAATAAGAAAGGGGAAGAAGTTTCGAGAAGCAGAGAAAAACAATTTGTAGATGTTTTCCTGGAAAAAAAATCCAAACTATTATTATGTATTGCACGAAGGATCACTTTTAACTCGATATATCTAAATAGACAATGCATTTCCTATCGGATTATCTATTTTGTGCATATTCTATGACTCAGCTTGCCTGAAAATGAATGACTCTTGTCTAGTAAATAATAGTCATCTGGTTACTGGAAATTTTTGCTTTGTACATAGTTAAGTTGGGTGAATTTTTTGTTTTACAATAATCTAAGTGAAATACGCACGTGTGGAACTTGTTTTTAATCAGGTTTAGAAATTTTTTGCTTTCCTTATCAAGATGCAAACCGAACCAAATGGAACTAAAGTATTTTTAATGTTTTGTAGAAATACAACAAACCGAAGAAGCCGAGTAAAAATAAGTGAATCATGCTATTCATAATCTTTCCCTTATGCTATTGTGAACCTTATAGCATCGGAGAAGGCGCAAAGATCAGTAAGCGGCTTTTTTTCTACAATAAACGATGAAAACACGCGCTCAAGTCACTCTGCATAGTTGCTTTACAATAAGAAAAAGCTTTTCAGTGCAGCCCCATTGGGGCTAAAATGTGGAACTCACATATTTCGGTCAGTTAGATACTGATTAAATAGAAATTTTATTTTTTCAGTGTAGTGAGATGATATATTTTGTTCGAACATAAGATAATAAAACCTTTTTAACATTTGAAATTTATTGGATCTATCAATAAGAAACATTACTTGAGAGAACGTCTAAAAACATTTTTGTTTAGAATATGTCAGTATGCTGAAGTGTTTAGTGGTTTCATTGAGAAATATTGTGAATGATAATAGTTTAAACAGTATTTAGGATATAGCTATCAATATTGTTGCAAAATTTATATTTTTTCGTATTACTAGGTGAGAAATTGATACATTTTTTCATAAACGAAAATTTGATAAAAGCTTCCCAGTGGATGGAAAAGTTTCTAATTGTAAATACACTAAAGCGGATTCCAGCTCTAGAATAAGGTATTTGCGTGAGAAAAAGAAGATTAAAATCTTCATCTGTTTATTGTAGGTGGTAGAAGTGACGAGTGTAATAGTAGCAGAAACTAGTTGCTAGCTTCTGTAGCGGTAGCATACACTCGCTGCTAATGTCTGTAATAATAAAAATATATAATACTGTCGTAACTATGGGCTATAATAATAAAAGCGGCAGATTTTGATGATTAATTAGAGATTAAATCCTAATTATAATGATTTCTAATTAGTGGAACTAGATTTTTATTAGTGATGTGAGTAGTGGTGAACATAGGCAATCGGCCAGCACCAAAACAGTTTCTAATTAGTGCATCAAAGTGTTAGTTTTTTCATATTTTATGTCTGTAATGGGGAAGGGGGAGGAGGTACAGGAGAGCCTAAAAAACCTAACAATTCAACTTACACTCACTATTTTCTTCGAAAATATATGTGAGTTCCACAAAATAGTGATCTGTACTAATAATCGAGCTTATATTTTTCTACCGTGCTATAATTAAAATTAGGAAACTTCAAGATTTTTGTGCAAATAAATAACTGGATATAAGAAGGGTTAGAATGAGAATAGTAATCAAACATATTCTGCCTTGAAATTTCAGATTTATAATGATCTGTTGCATGTTCATTTTGAAAAGTTAACAGATATTTATTTTCGAAATATTAAAAGTTAGATTTTAGGTGTTTTACACATGAAAAACAATGTTTGAATAAAAATAATATTGGAAAACAAAATGGTGAACGCATAATTTTTGATAAAATAATACCAGCTCACATCCACAAAGTGGTCTAGTAAAATATAGGATATTACGCTGTTGATAGTAACTTCATTCTTCAACAGTAGAACCTGTTTTAGTGCTCGTTAATTAAGTAATTGATTAAGAAAAAAAAATAATGATATCAAACAGAATCGACAAGACATTTATTAGTGAAAATCCCTTCATCCAATCCGACACTATGCGCTGTTATGTTGTTCAAAATAGTTCTGCACTAAAATAGAACGTTGAGGCTGACTTCTCAATATTCGCTCTGGTAATGATGGGAATGTTGAAGGATGACCAATTGGCGTTATTCCAGTAGAAGGTAGAGTCAAAAATCGTGTTATTGTTGTCGTCCGAGGTTTTGATTCGGATTGTGAACTTGAACTTAGATTCAGAGATGTACTTAATGATTGCTCTGATTCACAAGACGATTCATCTGGTTTTATATACAGCGCTCGATAAAGTCCTGTGCTGTTGTTTATAGTTTGACTTTTATTTGGTATTTCTTCATTATGTTGATTTTCACATAGAGGAGATGATGTTTCTTCTCCATCATGCAAAAAACTTCGTCTTAGTTCACCCCTGAAATTAATCTTAGTGTTATTAGAAAATGAAAAAAAAGCGACTTACAAAAATGTATTATCAAGCCATCGAGGAAGATACCAATAACTCAATATATTGAGTAGCAGACCGGCTAGCAAAACAATGCCCAGGAGTATTCCAAATAGTAAATACAAATTAAAGGATTCATTATTGCTATTGCTAGCTGTAAGAAGAAATAAACGAGAGAATTTTCAGCATTTATAAAAATGAATCGGCTTATGGCAAACCTGTCGCTGCTATTTGAGCAATAACCACAAAATTCAAACAATATTCAGTTGATTGTAAATTGTTACTATTGACTGCGATTGTACAGAGCAAGTACTTTTTACCGATTTGATCATTAGAAGGCGTCCATGTAAATGTTGTTGAATAAAGTATTGAACTGTATGTTATTATTGACGAAATACTTGCTAGACCTGATGGTAAAATAACCGTTAAAAACCGAATAATCGTGGTACCATTGCAATCCGTTTGTGCAAAAATTTCTGTAGAATATGAAACATTCGCTTGCACGTATAGAGTGTCACCGTTGGTTGGCTCTCCTGTGATAGTTGGTATGCCACAGGAAACTTGCACACCACGTACAAGAAACTGTAATGGAATAGAACTTAATGCTGTACCATTCGGCGACGATGGCATGAAATCTTCTATTTGTATTGCTATACAATAATAACCAACAACACTCGTGTTGAATACGATTGTACAATTATTATCGGTATTCGATGATGTGTACAGTTTAGCTCCTGACAAATCTTGGCAGACGCCACTACATTCATCAATAGTTGTTGAAGCAACCGCAGATGCGTTACTAGCCCATCGACATTTCACAACATCGTAATCACTATCTGTCATTGGTATGCGAAGCGTTTGTTGTGTATTGACAGGCACGACGACTACGGGGGTCATATTTGCCGTTGGCGATGAATTTATTGCTCCAGTATCATTACGTACGGCTAAATTAATATACGTTGCTATGCTCCACGGCTTTGAACCAGCAACGAGATTTATCATTGAAGTACTTCGATAAGCCAACACTAGTTGCGCACCTAATTGATATGTAATGGACTGTGTAGTCAGAGAGGTAGAGATACTTAATCCAAAATCATAATCAATACAGGTTCCAGAAATAGCAATGCCCGTTGTATTAGAACTACAACCAGTTGGACAAACAAGCGTGTTACCAGCAGTACCAGTCACCTGTAGGCATGGCATTGAAGTACTGACCCATGAATATGTTTGTTTTAATTTAATAGTAGTTGTGCTAACATTAGTTAGGTTTGGCGAAACAGGTTTCCATGACATCATTCCACCCATAAAATGAGGTGCCTGCACAAAAAATACGAATTCAAACCCAAATAAACAATTGCAAAAGAGGAACTTGAACATTTATCAATTGGTTTCGTATGGATAAAAACAAGCCAAGTTTTTCTCCAGCTCTATTCGACTCTTGTAACTTGATGATCAAAAGAGAGACACTGTTGGATTTTTCATTTTTGAAAAATCAATTTCGCAAGAAGCCAAACAAAAATTTTATTGTTATTTTCATGTATTCGAAATCAGTTGCCTTATAATTTTCATGAGAATCAAATAACAGAAATGTGTTTTTTTCGAAAACCAAATTTGGCTAAATATTTAGAACAAGTTTTGAGTAAGATGAAACGAAATGGTAGTACTAGATAGAACTTCAATAAATATAGAATTACGTTAGAAGGTTGCTCTGTAATTATGTCTTATCAAATGCGAGAATTAAAAACAGCTTCTCTGTGCCAGAAGTAACACGTTATCAATGAATTTATGAACGATAAAAAAATTATCTTGTGAAATGAATTTCATTTTCGGTTAGAATTCTTCAGTCATTCAATAGATCCTCGAAGAAATCAACTTAAAAACAATTCTCGACAAATACAATATTCTCTGTAAGTGCCCACAAACAACAAAAATTTTCCTTTGTCAACAATAAATAATTTATTTTATTGCATCTATTCAATGTTAATTTATACTAAAATAAAACAATTGGCTAAAAACGAACCCAGTATAATAAAGTGATTATATCATGAAGAATTTAATGTTTTCTTCAATGCTGATTTTTGAATTCTGTGCTGGTTTGCATGCAGTAATGTTTTTTTCTTCTTGCAAGACTCCAAAATTTACAAAGTCTGATATAAAGGATCGTACAGCAACAAAAATTAGTGAAAAGAAAAATAATTATTAACTCGGCCAAATTTTATAAAAAAAAGAAAAGTCATTCGTTTTTATTTTGCCAAAGATAGGCTTGAACCAAATGAGAACCTGGCTCTTGGCCGGTCGATATTCGCTCGGGTAAAACAGAATTATTGAAAGATTGACTGAGTTTTGTTGTGCCAATAGAAGCAGCCGATAGAAATATTCTTGTTGACCGTGCGAGTGAGTGTGATGCTCACCATGAAATTGAACTTGTACTCATAGTTCTACTTAGTGATTGCGACATACGATCGTCCGGTTGTATATATAATTCACGATAAAGTTTTGTGCCGTTGTCGATTCTTTTTTGTCCGCTCGACGTTTGATCTTCTTGTAAACGAGACAGTGTTTTAGCTTTGCTCGAAAATTTCTTATTGAACCATCGAGGAAAATTAAAATAACTCAATATATTCATGAGAATACATAATGGAAGACCAATGCCCAAGCTAAGTCCAAGTATGAGAGACCAATTGATTGAGTCGTTATTGCTAGCTGTAAAAAGAAATAAACGAGAGAATTTTCAGTACACTTATGAAACAAATCGGCCTATGACAAACCTGTCGCTGCTATTTGAGCAATAACCACAAAATTTAAGCAATACTCAGCTGATAGTGAGTTATTACTATCGATTGCGAATGTGCAAAACAACTGTTTTGTATTGATTTGATCAATAGTAGGCGTCCATTTTAATATCGTGGAATAAAGTACTGAACTACTTTGAAATAGAGTTGAAATACTTGCTAGACCTGATGGCAAAATAATCGTTAGAAATCGTACAATTTTAGTACTACTACAACCGCTTTGTGCCGTAATAACAGTCGAATAGGTGATATTATATTGTACATAGATGGTGTCACCATTGGTTGGCTCTCCTGTGATAGTTGGTATGCCACAGGAAACTTGCACACCACGTACAAGAAACTGTAATGGAATAGAACTTAATGCTGTACCATTCGGCGACGATGGCATGAAATCTTCTATTTGTATTGCTATACAATAATAACCAACAACACTCGTGTTGAATACGATTGTACAATTATTATCGGTATTCGATGATGTGTACAGTTTAGCTCCTGACAAATCTTGGCAGACGCCACTACATTCATCAATAGTTGTTGAAGCAACCGCAGATGCGTTACTAGCCCATCGACATTTCACAACATCGTAATCACTATCTGTCATTGGTATGCGAAGCGTTTGTTGTGTATTGACAGGCACGACGACTACGGGGGTCATATTTGC